GTAATGCAATCAATCAAGGCATAAAAACAGCAAATTGAATTGCTGCCGTGGTGATCTTAGTCACTGCGGCATTATTCACAATGAGTAATAATATGAGCACAACAGTTAGTAGCTCTCCAGAAAAGGTGAACGTGCCTCTTCTGGAATATGCAGGAATACCAAATTGCAAAGACTGGGAATATCACCCACACCTACCAAGTCATACACTTGACAAATGCAGGGTTTGTAAGTGGGACCCCACCCCCTACACATGTGCTTTTCCATATTTTATGACCTGAGATGGCCCATTCTTTTTGGATATACTTTTGCATTGCAGGGGTGTTGTGCTAAGAACTTACCCAGATTCACTACATTTGAGGAGTGCATTGGGTTGTTCCATTACATGCAAAAAACCCCAACAAAAACAGGGCTTAGTTGGTGACAGTGAGTGAGTAGGAGGTCGTCAGGGCCAGGCTGATTTGGACCTTATGGTCCCATAAGGACATAGCAAGTGGCTTTATGCCACATTAGACCATTGGTAGTCAGGGACAGGCTGCATGAGGAAGAGTGGTGGGAGCCCGGGAGCCCAGGGAAAGCTCCAAAGATGAGCGGTTCTCAACCTGTGGGTCCCCAGATGTTGTTGGACTACAACTCCCATCATCCCTAGCTAGCAAGGCCAGAGCTCAGGGATGATGGGAGTTGTAGTCCAACAACATCTAGGGACCCACAGGTTGGCAACCACTGCCTTAGAACCTGGAGCCTGATGGTGGGACACTGAGGAGCAGTCAGCAGAAGGGAGACCTGAGCGATCTAAGGGGGTCAGAAGAAGAAGGAGAGCCCTCCAGGACAGGATTAGAATCATGCACACAGACAGTCCCAGTCCTGCCTCTCCTCCCCTCTCACTCCCTGCTCGAGGAAGGTCCTGCATGTTGCTGAGCATCGCACCAGACAGGCCCAGGGGAGGAGCCCACCACCTCGATGGAGCCTTTGTCTGCTTGGGAGGAATCTAGAGTGCGAGGCTAGAGGGGAAGGACATGCTTAGGGCTTAGTTTCAGCAATGCCTTCGATGAGTTAAGACCAGGGGTAGGCAACCTAAGGCCTGGGGGCCAGATGCGGCCCATTCACCTTCTCAATCCGGCCCGTGGATGGTCCAGGAACCAGTGTGTTTTTACATGAGTAGAATATGTGCTTTTATTTGAAATGCATCTCTGGGTTATTTGTGGGGCCTGCCTGGTGTTTTTACATGAGTAGAATGTGTGCTTTTATTTAAAATGCATCTCTGGGTTATTTGTGGGGCATAGGAATTTGTTAATTCCCCCCCCCAAAAAAAAACAATATAGTCCGGCCCCTCACAAGGTCTGAGGGACAGTGGACCGGCCCCCTGCTGAAAAAGTTTGCTGACCCCTGGTTAAGATGAACCAGGGTCATTGTTGTGTTGTTGTTGTTTTCTGCTAATAAAAATAATAATTGCCTTCTGTGTGTGCGCCTGTCCTGTGGATGACCTGGCTCCTTGACAGCTCCTTGACATCGGTACATCCAGCTCCTTATTGTCTATTGAAGGGGGTGGCAAAGACTGTCAATCTCCTTTCTCCCGGGCCCTCCCATCCCCACCAATCACCATCAATTATTCTAGACATCCACTCTTTTTCAAACTTGACCATGACAGCATGTGGTTCTCTAGGCACATTGGCCAGTTGCAGCACCAGTGAGCAAAACTGAAGCAAGCTCCTTTCTGCCCTACCCGCTGCTGGTTGTTGTTTTACATTCTTAAGGGAACCTGAAGCTAGTAAAATAAATGCCAATCAACTGCACAGCTTCCTGCCTGCACCGAGCTTCTGTGCTATAAAACTGGCAAGGAGCTGGCACTGGGAAAGTAGGAATAAATGTTCTCCTAACCTTCAGAAACTGGTGGAGGTGGGTGGTTTGTTGTTGTTGTAGTTTTTTAAAAAACAGAGCGTCAAACCTTCCATGCACATAATTATGAAATTGCTTTGGCTGCATGGATCACATCGCAGTGGGGGACAACATCCACTAAGCAGCTTTCACAGTAGCAGTCAGCTATATTGGAGTTGGGGTGGGAAGCCATACTTTCCCAGGCTTTTATTTATTCATATATAAATAGTTTGGAGACGTGTGTATATGTGTATGCATATGTCTATATCCTTGCATCTCTGCAAGCATAAGCAGGGAAGGGAAGGGAGCTGGAAAGAGAGGCTGTTTTCCCACCCTGCAAGCCAATAAGCAATTGGCTAAACCTGATCATTTCATCCATCAAATACCTGGGTGGGAGGCTATCTTGGAATATGGTGTGCATTACCTTAGAGGATGGGTGGGCAAACTAAGGCCCAGGGGCCGTATCAGGCCCAATCGACTTCTAAATCTGGTCTGGGAATCAGCGTGTTTTTACATGAGTAGAACGTGTCCTTTTATTTAAAATGCATCTCTGGATGATTTGTGGGGCATAGGAATTCGTTCATCCCCCCCCCCCAAAATATAGTCCGGCCCCCCACAAGGTCTGAGGGTCAGTGGATCAGCTCCCTGCTGAAAAAGTTTGCTGACCCCTGCCTTAGAGCTCCATGGCAGAAGAAGAGATGCAAAACTTTTTTAAAAACAACAACAACAAAAGTTTAACTTTCCTCAATGTAATTCTGATCAGCATGATATGTACCCCTAGAAACATAGAAGTGTAGAGTTGGAAGGGACCCTGAGAGTCATCTAGTCCAAGCCTCTGGAATGCAGGAATATGCAGCTGTCCCATATGCTGATCAAATAATAATAATATAAGAATATTTTATTATTTATACCCCGCCCATCTGGCTGGGTTCCCCAGCTTCCAACAAAATATTAAAATACAATAGTCCTTCAGATATTAAAAGCTTCCCTAAACAGAATTGCCTTCAGATGTCTCCTAAAAGTCTGGTAGTTGTTTTTTGGGAGGGTGTTCCACAGGGTGGGTGCCACTACCGAGAAGGCCCTCTGCCTGGTGTTATCAGAACCATACTAAATTCCTGAATTCCTGTGTTGCAGGAAGTTCTATGAACTTCATAGAACTCTACAAGTTCTATGATTCTATGCCCTAACCAACTGAGCTTTTGCAGAACCTACCCTGCTCTAATCCTTATTAAGCCAGCAAAATAAGTAATTTGGAGGGTGTAGGTATTTACAAGAGCCTTCTCGCTTAAATTCAAAGGCAGCACGAGCACATATGAGATGGTCTTCCATACATAGTTCCTGTGAGGCTTATAAAGGCTGTTGTGCAATGTGACTCTGCCTGTCCACCCAAAATCAGCTGCCCTCCAGATGTTCTTGGGCTCCAGCTCCCCTCAGCGCCAGCCAGCTTAGCCAATGGTCAGGGAGGAGGGGAGCTGTATTAAATAATTATTACAAGTTTCACCACTTTAAATATTAATAATAGCAAACCATTTAAGAAATACTGTCTTGAGTCTGAATCTCTGGAGACCCATGCAGAGGAAAGTAAAAGAAGCTGGCAGCAGCTTTCACACAAAGAAGAAATTCTGTCACCTAGGAGGATACTTAATGCACCAGCTGAAGAGACCCAAAGTGTCAATTCAAACTGGAAAGGCCTCATTTGCATTTTTATTGTAAGCTGCTTTGTGAATCTTTTCTAAGGTTGCAATGTTAATATGCTCCAGTCTCTAGGGTGTCAGCACCACTGAATCTGGTGCAGCTTACTTCTGAGGAAGTATTAGGATTCACAGTAAATCCCCCAATCCACAAGCTGCGTCTGCTGAAGTCTGAGGGGCCAGAGCTAGCACTAGACTTCAGGGAGAGCCACAGCACCGTCTACTCCCACCCCAAAACACAAAGACAGAGGCTCTTACGTGTAAATAAGAAAGAGATACTTATTCAGACAAATGAAGGTAGAGGCTCAGGAGCAGACACAAGGCTCTGGAGTCATAGTTCAGGAGTTGAGGAGCAGGGCAAGGAGTTCAGAACTGGATGGAAGAAATAGAGTTGACCCAGCAAGCGTCAGTGCTGTTAGAATTCCTGCTCCGTGATTGCAGTCATGGGACTGGTGTCTTTCACATGACAGTATATGTTTTGACTCCACAGAGTGGGAAGTGACGAAGACAGGATGTTTGTGTTACTGAGTTCCGTGAAGAGGGACTATTGTCCTTTGTTGTTTCTCTTTGCTGTCTGATGCTAGAGAGAGAGGGAGCCATGTTGCAATGCTCCGTGTGTGTTTATATGTAAATAAAGTAGATTAGCCAAAATGCTGAGTTGCTGAGGTCTGCCACGCAAACTGCGCAAATTCTGTGGATCCCTAAGTGTGCCGGTGTCAGTTGACATCGGTCGCTGTGATGTTCAGGCTGAAGAAAGCTTCTGAAGCTCCCAAACGATCAACCAGGAGGGAGGTAACATGCCAGTTGGGCATGTGACTCTGCCAGGGTCCTACTCGAGTGTAGGATGAGCTACTGACAAGTGCCTTGCCCACCAAGCTCTTAAAGTTGAAGCATGGAATGCTTCCTCACAAGACTTGCCTTGGGGGAATGATGCACTCTGTCAGGGTGGGTAGGTCTGTCCCCATCTGCGAAGATCATGCCTGGTTCTAGAAAACAAGATTTCACCCTCCTGTTCAGGCTGTTGCCTGCTCCACCCACCCTGCTCAGTTGAACAAAGCCCTCCTCAGCCTCCAGTGAAGCTCTCTGCTCTGTAGGAAAATTGGGGTGCTGCTCCCGCTTCCTAAACAGCTGAAGTCAGAGAGGCAATGGTAGGGAACCCCCACCCTCTCCAGCCCAGGCACTTGCCCTTCATGCACCCATTTCTTCCTCCTGTGTAAAAGACTGCCAATCCAATCCCAACACAGAAGCACCCTTGCCTCTGGAACACACTGCGGCTGTGTCCTCTTTCCCTTCTACCTTTTTTTATCACAAAAAATATTTGCTGCTGCGAGAGCAGCAACAGGACTGGTGGCTTATCTATCACCTCTGCACTTGAATAAAGGACCAAGGATGGGGGCTTCTTCAAAGCCAGGCATTCGGGGTGAGGTGACTGGGAGAATGCTAGCAATGCACATAGTTCGCTGTGGCAGCAAAACACATATTTTTAAACTTAGGGCCTCTTCTGAGAAGGACAGTCCCTTTGGCCCTTTCACAGAACCCAGAGAGGGAGCAGACAGGAAGGAGGAAGCACACTTCCCCACAAGGCAGGTTAGAATGGTGAGGCTCTTCCAAGCCCTGAGGCTCTCAGCCAGTGCCCAACCTAGCTGACCACTGGTCCAGGGGTTGTAATCAGGCCATGCCTGATCCCCACAGTTTACAAGCTCCAGGACTTTTAGTTTGTATTGCTTCCCTTGCCCATTCATGTGGCTGAGTGTAGGACCAGTGTAGACCATGAGGTTTGCCTGGCCAGCTTCAAGGTGTTGTGGTGGAGCTGTGTGTGTGTGTGTGTGTGTGTGTGTGTGTGTGTGTTTGGTGGCTTAGCTTACCCTCACTACTCTTGAGGAGAGGAGCCTGTATAATATTTTCCAATACAGGGTAGGGTGCAGTGCGGTGGGGTGTGTGTGTGTGTGAGCACATGCTAAGAGCATTTCCGCCTTTCTTTTTCCTCCCAAATGTAACATTGCCATTTGTAATTTCCCGGCAATGGCAAACCACTATTAAAAAATGCAGATTGGCAAGCCATGATGTCCAACTTTGGAGAGGGGGATTGAGGGCTGGAGACATGGGAAAGACCTCAGGCTCACGTTGCCTCCTTTTGCATCGAAAGCCATTTTAAAAAATCAGTTTTTTAAAAAAGCAACCGAGACGCAGCAAGCGCAAGATTTCTGTCGGACTTGAGGATCCCCTGGTTTGTGCACTGCTGCTCCCTTAGCATCCTTCTTGAGCTTAAATTGCAATAAAAGTGGATGAGTGAAAACTGCCCGTAATGTCCTGTGAATTTCCCTCTAGGCTTTGAAACACCTCTTAATTACCTGCCGGCAGCCGTGCAAGAACAGTGCCAAGGCAGCGTTTGCCTTATTCAAATATGCCCACTGTCGCATTGATTTTTAATTTATTTAAGGAATTGCTTCCAGCAGGGCCATCTTTACCCAGGGCCATCTTTACCCAGGGGTAGAAGGGGTGTGGGGTGCCAAATTCTGGGCAGCGGCAAATGTATACCTACTGTATACTGGTCCCTCTCAATCGGCGGCAGTTAAAAGCAATGGAGCGAAAGTCCCCACCCTCCTCCATTGCTCTGTTACTCCGTAGCGTCAAATATTCCTGACGAGTCAGGAAACAAAAGCAGTTTTTTCCGCTGTGTCATTGTTATAGGTGAACAACTTAGGCTTCCCCCTCCTCCAAAAAGCTCAAAAAAAGTTAATTTGGGGGCAGATAAACTAAATTTGAGGTGCTGGGCGGATCTTTGCACCCCGGCGGCACATATGCTAAAGACGGCCCTGAATGCTGGTCTGGATAGTTGGGCCATACAGGTCTGTGCACAAGATAACCTCACATGACACAGTGTGGGAAGCAGGAGCCCAATTTCAACAACCAAGAGAAGGATAGTAGAAGTGGGAGCCATACTAAAGAAAACCTGAACCCTAATGTGGCAATTGCCTGCTGACACGTCCTTTCCCATAATGCAACAGGGGTGCCTCTGGACTATCAGTATTTTGTGGAAAGGATTCAAGTCTCTGATTTTGGGTTTCTCTCTTCCACAGACAACTCCCAGCTCACTAAACCTCACTGATACCTCTTCAGCTTCCAACACTTCCTCTGTTAGGATATAGTTCCATTCCACCTTAAAGGGTGGAAGTAGTTCCATTCCACCTTAAAGGGTGGAAGTAAACATGCCTGTTTACTTCCAGCACAGTCTGCTGGGAACTTCCGTTTGTATATTGCTTTTGCTGCTGTTTTGCTGGAGACGAAGGGAAGCAGACATGTTTTTCCTTTGTTCCTGAACTATGCTGAATAAATTGCTGCAAATAATGCTCACACATGTCTCTGTCTACCTCTTCCGTTGTGAGGATTTATTCACAGCATGCATAGCTTCTAAACGCATCTGAGGCTCATGTCGCTGATTGATGCTGTACCAGGAACCGTTGTTCGCCCGGCTTCCGGCTGGTGGCTGGAGCCAGCTGGGGGCCTGCCAAATGCCCCCATCTCCCTGGCAGCATCCCAGCATCCTCTTCCCAGTCTTCTCCCTCTGACAACTCATTGTCCCACCACCACTTCCCAGGCTCTGAGTGTTCTTCCCTTGGCAGTTCCCCAGTTGGTGCCCCATCTGCATCCAGCCAGGGTGACATTGCCGCCCCACCTCCCTGGGACGCTCGTTGCAGGCGGCACCCCACTGGGACACTTGCTGCTCTCTGCAGGTGGCACCTCCTGGGGTGTTCGCTGCTCACCACAGGTGGCACACACCCTCGGGTGCACAGCATGTGCACTGCTCCAGGTGCCGGAGCAGCTAGCTCCGCCTCTGGCCCCAGGTGCTTCTGCTATAAAAGGGCTCAGTTGCAGCTTGTTCCCTGCTGGAGCAACTTCAGAGCTCCGAAACATGCTCATCGTGCCTTGCGGCCCACCTGAACCTTCTCCTTGTCCTACACCCTAGTTGACCCTTACAGATCCTGCACAGCATGATGCCAAGTGAGAAGGCCCCACTGTAAGTCTTCTGGGGGTGCTCAGCAAAGTCTGGTGACGTGTAAGATGATGTCTTTATTTGTGAATTACTGCATTTTAATGCATTTTTCTCCAAACCGGCCTTGATTTAAATGGAGAAAAAGAACAGGCCAGGTGTATTTTCAGCCGGTAATGTGCACACAGCCTCTGTTCATCATTATCCCAACCAGCCCCACCCCACCCCTGCCCCCCCAAATGCAGGAACCGGCAACCCAGAGACAATTTGGGCCACCAGCAGAGCGACACAAAATGACTTGAGCTGACTTTGGGAGACGCCAATGATTAATTTCCATTCCGCTTTCTTACGAGGTTGTGACCCATGTCAGCCAGGCACGAGCTGCTGGGGGGGGGGGGACTTGGCTGGATTTCAGAGACCACCCCCCTTTAGAAGTCCATTAGGCTGACCTGGAAGTGGAAACAGTTGCAGCTGGCTTTCAAAAGGCCAAATGAAGCCGGTGATTTCTGTTTGACATTAATTCCAGGAAATTGAATATTCCTCCCAGATGTTTAATAAACACATTCAGGCCTTCCCAAAGCCCTCTGGATGCACTTCATACACTTGTAGCCTCAAAGAGCGCATAAGTGTTCAAAGGCTAGATGAACCATAACTTCCAAGTACAGATACACTATGTATGGGCTGACAATGAGGAAAGCTGTGGGAAAGGTAGCTTGCTGCTGTGTGGCATCCCTAATGGGGCAGAAATCAGGCATGTTTCATTGGGGGTGAGGGTGGGGAAAGGGGGCTATTGAAACATATAAAAGAAGCAGGCAATTCCAGTTCGCATTTTTTAGTATTGATCTGATGTGTAGAGATCTTTCCTATTCTGCTTAGTTCAATAGGGTTCTAGAAGGTTTCTTTCTGTGTGTAAGATGCTGGCAGAAGGTTTCTGATGTTTGGGTTATACCTTCTGGGAAGCTGAGTAGAGCTGGTTTAAACTGGTTCTGTTATCCTTTCTGTCAAGGTCATGTTGACTATAATAGTAAAGCCAGGAGGAGCCTTGGTTTCACTCACTTTCTCGTGTTAAGGTTTAGTCTCATTATAAGTTCTTGTAAGTTAGTTTATGATAAGTCTGCTGCAACTGGATTTCTTGTGGACAGTGCCAGTCCTGAATGTATTGGATTTGTGACCATTATGCTCATTTGCCTTCAGTAGCGAGTAAAGCTCTGCTGGAAGAAATTGTCTCTGGTCTATTTTGAGGGGAACTCTGCAATGTGTTTTAAGTCCTCCTCAGCCTTGCACGACAGGCAAGGGGATAGATCAGGAACATTTTGTGTAAGCACGAGTTCCATAAAATAAGGAACACCTTGATGGTAAAGTAAGGCCACCCTGGGCCACCATCTCAAAGGAACTGGGAAAGTCTGAAGCACAAGTGGAATTAAAAGTTCTGGGTTCTATGTCAAGCAACTCCAGGGAAGGCTAGGAATGACCTCCACTTGAAAACCTGGAGAGTCAGTTCCCATTGGTGTAGACCACGGGTGTTAGCAACCTCCACATTTTGCACCCCAGGCTGCCCCTCCTCTCCCCATGTTATGCCCTCAACTGGTCCTTCTCTACTCTGGAATGTATCTGAACACTCTTCTAAGCAGAGCCTTGTCTGTTAGGGCAGATGGCACCCCACCAACCTCAGCCTTCTCACATAGGAAGCTGCAAGTACTCATGGCGTTAGTCACAATCTGCAAGTATCCTCCAGCTTCTTGAGAAATTATTGAGAAATACCCACCCGAATAGCTCAGCTGGTTAGAACATGGTGCTGATAACGCCAAGGTTGCAGGTTCAATCCCCGTCTGGGGCAGCTGCACATTCCTGCATTGGGGGGGGGGGTTGGATTAGATCAGGGGTCAGCAAGGTTTACCGGCCATGGGCCGGATCACTCCCACGGAGATTGTCCGTGGGCTGGACTGGCGCAGCGCGATGCTGGAAATCGCGTCTACGCATGCCCAGACGCCGAAAATTGCGCCTGTGCAGAAGCTATTTTCAGTGTCTGGACATGCGCAGATGCGATTTCCGGTTTCTGTGCGTGTGCAGACGCAATTTCTGGTGCCGCTCAGTGAGTCCCTCTGCCGCGCTGCACCGGTTTAGTGCAGCGCACAGGGGACTCACCAAGCGGGTGGCTTGGTTCGGGGGAGGCTCGTGGGCTGGTAAAACCAGGGGTCAGCAACCTTTTTCAGCCTTGGCCCAGTCCACCATCCCTCAGACCATGTGGTGGGCCGGACTATATTTTGAAAAAAAATAATGAACGAATTCCTATGCCCCACAAATAACCCAGAGATGCATTTTAAATAAAAAGACACATTCTACTCATGTAAAAACATGCTGATTCTCGGCCAGATTGAGAAGGCGATTGGGCCAGATCCAGCCCCTGTGCCTTAGGTTGCCTAGCCCTGGGTAAAATGGTCTTCGTGGGCCGCATTTGGCCCATGGGCTGCACATTGCCGACCCCTAGATTAGATGAGTCTCTTGCAACTCTACAATTCTGTGATTTTTGATTGATGCATTTCCTGGGGCTGATGGGAATTGCAGGGTGCTCATTTGAGGAAGGCTGTTCTAGCCACTCAGGAGCCAAACTCTCTCACTCCCACAAATATGTCACCCTGGGAACTGCCCTTTCCATTGTTTGTTGTTGTTGCTGTTTAGTTGTTTAGTCATGTCCCCATGGGCCAGAGCACGCCAGGCACTCCTGTCTTCCACTGCCTCCCGCAGTTTGGTCAAACTCATGCTGGTAGCTTCGAGAACATTGTTTAGGCCTTCCAAAGCAAAAAAAACGCATGGCAAAAAGACGTGAGCCACTTGTTCTTGGCGGAAGTGGGTGGTTCACCCCTTTCCTCCTCCCTCTTTCCCAGTCCACCAACCATTATTATTCCAGCTCTTAAACCTGTGCCAGACTGTTAATGTCTTAATGCTTATTCAAGTGTCAGGGAGTGCTGGCAGATGTCAGCGTAAATGGGAGGCTGTCAGTGAGGAAATTACTTACCATTCATAAACTGATGGCTGCAGTCTGTCAGGTAGCATTTGAGCTTGAGGCTGAAATGGTGGGGGGGGGGAGGAGGTTTGATGCTGGTTGGGGTGCAGGGAGAGAGAAGGAATTTCAGGGTTTACAACAGAGGGTGGTAGTGGAAGGAATTGCCTCCAGCCATGTCCACAATAAAACAAAAGCTACAGACCCTACGTGTCCCTATTTTCCAGGGACGTCCCTGATTTAGAGAAGCCATCCCAGTTTCTGATTTGATCCTGGAATGTCCCACTTTTCCTTATGTAAAGGTAAAGGGACCCCTGACCATTAGGTCCAGTCCTGACCGACTCTGGGGTTGCAGTGCTCATCTCGCTTTATTGGCTGAGGAAGCCGGTGTATGTGTCATGTGGCCAGCATGACTAAGCCGCTTCTGGCGAACCAGAGCAGCATACGGAAATGCCGTTTACCTTCCCGCCGGAGCGGTACCTATTTATCTACTTGCACTTTGACGTGCTTTCAAACTGCTAGGTTGGCAGGAGCAGGGACCAAGCAACGGGAGCTCACCCCGTTGCGGGGATTTGAACCGCTGACCTTCTGATCGGCAAGTCCTAGGCTCTGTGGTTTAACCCACAGTGCCACCTGCGTCCCTCACTTTTCCTTAGGATGTCCCTATTTTTATTGGAGAAATGTTGGAGGGGGTGAAGCTAACAGAGAACCAAGGATCCTCTGTAACCTCAAAACTTCTAAGTTTTGTTTTGCTGCCCTTTAAAAAAAGAAACAAAGAAAGTGGCAGGCATATGGTGTTGAAATGATCTAGGGCCATCTGCAGAATCCACAGAAGCAGAGACAGAACTGCAGTGCAAATTCTCCACCTGGCTGAAATCAAGTTTCTATTTGTATTAAGAGTCTCTTTTTAATTGGCGAGCTTCCTAGAACACTGTTAGCCTACAGCTTTGAAGCCAGCTTTACACATCACATGTTTGTGGGTGTACATTATTATTATTATTATTGTTATTATTACTTTCAGTGAAGCATCTCAAAGCGATTCACAGTACAAAAACACAGAGGAGCAATTGCGCATACCAAAAAAATTAAAACAATTGCAGATGGATAGATATGCATACTATATGAACAATTACAGTGGTACCTTGGGTGAAGAACATAATTCATTCTGGAGGTCCGTTCTTAACCTGAAACTGTTCTTAACCTGAAGTACCACTTTAGCTAATGGGGCCTCCCGCTGCCACCACACTGCCGGAGCACGATTTCTGTTCTCATCCTGAAGCAAAGTTCTTAACCTGAGGCACTATTTCTGGGTTAGCAGAGTCTGTAACCTGAAGCGTCTGTAACCTGAAGCGTATGTAACCCGAGGTACCACTGTATTGTAGCTGTACAACAATTACATCTATGAAATCAATTTCTGTTCTAATACAGATACCAACTAGGATAACAAGTCCGTCTTAGGGGTCATCATACTGTCCAGGGGCACCAACAAAAGGGGGCAGAAGGTGCTTCGGCCCCCTCAATATTTGTTGGCAGGGGGCCGAGCCCCCCAATATTGAGGGGGTCGGGAGGCACAGAGGGTGATTTTCACCCTCTTCATTCCCCATCCCCTGCTGCCAATGGGCAAGCGCTGGACCGCCAGGGGGGAGAATGATTTTCACCCTCTCCACTCCCCAGCCCCCACCGCCAGCAGGGTGCAATGGGGATCTCTGTGGGGGGTGCCTGGTTCGTCCCCACCCTGATTACGCATGACGTCAGGGGGCAAGTTGATGCCCCTGATACTGTGACCCTTCATTTCAGATTTTCTCACACCCTCTCCTTTTTGGAGTATTTCTAGTATGAGACAATCCATATTAAGGGAGGGAGTGTGGGCAGGCAGTGATTTGGAGGACGTTATATGGTCAATGAAAAAGTAATGGCAATACACCTCCATCATCCAGCCCGGACACTAAGTTCTAGCACCGAGGGCCTTCTGGCGATTCCCTCGCTGTGAGAAGTGAGGTTACAGGCAGAGGGCCTTCTCGGTAGTGGTGCCTGCCCTGTGCAACACCCTCCCAGAAGATGTCAAGGCAATAAACAACTATTTTACTTTTAAAAGACAACTGAAGGCAGCCCTGTTTAAGGAAGTTTTTAATGTCTGATGCTGTATTGTTTTTAATGTTCAGTTGGAAGCTGCCCAGAGTGGCTGGAGAAACCCAGCCAGATGGGCGGGGTATAAATTATAAATTATTATTATTACAGGAAGCCTACTATCCATATTAAGCGACAGTAAGGAGGAGGCATGTTCACAGTGAGAGAGGTTGGCAAAGAATGTATATGTAGAGAACTGAGCCTTATTAAAAGGCAATCCATCTGTAGCCAAAACCCTGCAATTGCACCAGCCAAGTGAATCTGGGATTTACCACACCGGATTCAAAGACTGCCTGTCACTGTTACCATCAACTATTGCTAATTTATTTGTGCGGGACAAGGAAGCAACTGGTTGAGACCTGTGCAACAACAAGTTTGTGTTGTGCTGCCTGGCTGAATCATTTTAGTTCTTCTGTCTTTGCTGGATTGGCCAACCCCATAAAGTGTTTTCCCTCTCATTTTACGTGCGATTTTGATCAAGCTATATTTGAAACCTCCACTTTTCTTAACAGGCGCTGAAGTTGCCTTCCTGGAGGTGTGTGACGTAGAGATATTACTCCATCTCTTTCTCTCACTGTCCATTCTTAAGGCAACAGTTAGTACTACAGCTGGTAGTGGCTTCTAGATAATTTGCCAGCTATTTTCAGCCCAGCCAGGAAGCCCCAGTTAGAGCTGAAATGCGACAAATGCAACTGGAACCAAACTCCTTCCCTTTTTGGATAGCGAAACTCACAAGCTGCAGAGATGAAATCCGGTCCTTTTGTTAGCTGGAGGTGGGGAGGAGACAGGGTCAATAAGTTCTTCTCCCTTATTGTGTTTTTGCTGAATAAAATGAAAAGAAATTTCATCACACTTCTTGAAAAGAGGCTTCTGACATGGTGATTCCTTAATGTATTGGTTTTGGGTTCTTTCCAAGGGTGTCAGTTTCTGGGACTTCCCTTAAATTAATCTTTTTTTGTTTTATTTGTCTCTTCCTTTCTGCTGAAACTGGTTTTAAAAATTCCCTAGGAATTCTGCTTTGCAAAAGGTGTCCACTCTCCCCCATTCATGCCAAGGCAAGAATCCCTGTAGAGAAATTGACTAATCAGATTCAGTTTTCCAGAGACTTGGTCAAACTTGTAATGGTTCTAGGGGTTGCTCATGCGTAAACCGGTGCAAACACCTGGCTGGGTTGCCTGAGTGAACCTTTTCTGTCCGGACAGCCACTCACTCAGTGGGCGTTTCTTAAACTTCTTCCAGCAAAGAAGCTCTTTGACGCCTAGTCTCCTCCTACTCTCTCTGCGTGAAAGCCTTCTGCGCAAGGAGGGCGTAGGCAGCGGAGGACCCCTACTCTCCCCGCTGGTCTCCGGCAAGGAGTCATGGCACCGCCTCGCCGCTTCCCCCATCTGCCCCCCTTCTCCACTGGTGCTACGCTGATTCTCTTCCCCAGAAGATGGGCTGCCTCTCCCAATCCCGGGACGCTCTCTGGAATCCGTCTGGATTTTGCTCTCTCCCTCCGGCACTGATGGCAGTTCCCTGACAAAACTGGATACCTTGAGCTTCCACTGAGGAGGGGGCAGTATCCCCAGATTCCTGTGATTATTTTTATTTTTTAAAGAGTTTAGAGCTTTTGCAAAACCTGAGATATGAGATAAAATGCACAGACCATGTACACACTATGCAGTTAAAACTCAGTTCTCGAACAGCTCTGTTTTTGAATGTTTTGGCTCCTGAACGCTGAAAACCCGGAAGTAAATGCTCCTGTTTTCAAACGTTCCTCAGAACTCGAACGTATGACGCGGCTTCTGCTTGAGTGCAAGAAGCTCTTGCAACCAATTGGAAGCCGCGCCTCAGTTGTCGAACATTTCGGAAGTCAAACGGTCTTCTGGAAAGGATTACATTCGCCAACAGGGGTTTGACTGTACCTTTAAAGCACACTTGAAGCACAATTCCCCCCTCAAAGAATTCTGGGCACTGTAGTCTGTTAAGGGTTGCTGGGGATTGTAACTCTCTGAGGGGGAAACTACAAAGCCCAGAACTCTTTGAGAGAAAGAGTGTGCTGTGATTGTGCTTTAAAAATCTAGCATATACACAGGCAAAGTTCTTCTAATTTTGGTGTGTCGGAAATTAGTCTGCTCCCTACTTTCAGTATTTTAACTGTGTCCTCTACCCCCAGGGGAAATTCTTGCTGACATACTGGTATCCCTCTAACATTATCTTAGTTTTCTGTTCTGTTTTCCATTTTCAGGAGAGGCGACTGGCACTTTAGTGGTCAAAATAGAAAGCACCCATTCCTAAGAGAGAGGAAGCCACAGGGTTTGGGGAAGCCCAAGGTTTGCAGAAATAGAAAAAGCGAAAACCTTTTTAAGAAGGGGGGGGGGGAGCCTGAAGGAGGGGGGAACTCCAAAAACAGCCCAGTGGGGACTGTCTGCTGAGGGGACTAAGGAACAGAAACTGGGTGGGAGGGGGACTGCAATGTTGTACCCTGAAGAGGGGCATTTCTTGACTATAAATATTTAGACCACATTGCTCAGTACTTTATTTTGATTCTGGATTTTTATTGGTGATACTGACAACATATATATTTGTTTTATTTGTATCTTTGCCCTGCGATTTTGTTTTATCTTACATTGTAAACCACTTAGATATTTTTCAACAATGTATATTGAGTGGCCTATAGATGATTGATTGATTGATTGATTGATTAAACAAATAAATAGCACCCCCACCCACCCACCAATCATTTTAAAAATACAGAAAGGGCTAAATATTGTTATGTTCCTATACCTCATCATCTGACCTATATGGCAGCCTTTGTTTCCTTCTGTCGGTCTACAAGCTTTTGTCCAAGAAATGGGTGCAATCTGTTTGTTTAAGTGTCTTCTTCTTCTTCTTCTTCTTCTTCTTCTTCTTCTTCTTCTTCTTCTTCTTCTTCTTCTTCATTCTATTTAGTCCCAGAGAAGGCAGGGGAGAAGAGCAAGGGAATAGGGCCAGTGGGGGAATGGGGCAGAAGGCACATTGCTTGGTCTGACAACTCTTGATGGCCCAAGGACCACAATTTGGGAACCTTTGTCCTGGATTAGAGCCCCACATTGGGCAAAATATTCCTAAATTGCAGGGGGTTGGACCAGAGGATCCTTGGGGTCCATAGCTGTCAACGTTTCCCTTTTTTTAAGGGAAATTCCCTTATTCCGAATAGGATTCCTCGCAAGAAAAGGGAAAAGTTGACAGCTATGTTGGGGTCCCTTCGAACTCTACATTTCTAGAACGTACATTGCCTTGACACATTTTAAATATGAGGCACCTGAGGAATGTAGATTAGTCATAATAGAGAACAGAAATAAATAATGGGAAACACGGCTGTTCTGCTTCTGTTTTCTCAGTAGCTCATATATCTTGACTCCTTTGCCCTCTCTTACCCTTCCGCCACCTCCTTTTTGGTGAGGATCAGAGCCCAGCGGAAGTGACACGACTCGCTTTTCCTCCTCAGGGAGTGACGTAGCAGCTTCTTCCCCCTCCATTACACCTCCACCACTGTTAGTCTTGTCCTTGTACATTTTTGGCTGTGGAAAACACTAGCTCCACCGAGCTCACTCAAATGATCTCACCTGCAAGCGCCTCCGGACACATGAGCAAGCGCTCAAGGAAGACTACCTCTGAATCACCATTCGGAGATAAACCTGACAGTAGCAGGAGGACTCAGTGGCCGCCTCCTGCTGCCACTCTGACTGAAAAATACTTGGGAACTCTGCAACGTGACGCTTCCCGCAAGCCCTGAGCCTGAGGCAAATGTCTGCATTGCCCAATGGGTGATCCAATAAAGGCTTTCCCTGATCAGATCCTTTTCAGTATGTTGGCAGGGGCAAATTCTCCTACCAATATTCCCACAGTCCTTTTTTGCATCTCTTTTCCTTGCCTGTTGCATTGAGGGACAGCAGAATTGCCACTCTGCCTTATACCTCTGTTAGGGCAGTGGTTCTCGAACTTTTTTCCTCTGGGCCACACTATTAAAAGAAAAAACGCCAAATTCCATGCCACACCCAATTTTGTATTGATAAGAATACAAAATGTGACAGCTGCATATTCCTGCATTTGCAAAGGATTGGACTAGACGATCCTCAACTCTACAATCCCATGAAAAGCTCCGCTCATATATTATACAGAGAATGAAAGTTTAATGTTTCCCTCCTCTCCGCCCCTTCCACATTTTCCCTAAATTTCTCTCTCCCACCCTCTCTTTCCCCCTCAACCCCATACGGACTACAGCAAAAAATTTGTCTCTAAGGTACAGCAATCAAATTGTATGAAGGATGCTACGATTTAAAAACAGAGGCACAGATATGTACTTTTGTTACTTATGGAAAATATTTCATTAAAAACCCCGAATATAATTTTACCGTAACTGGGCATCCTATATAAACTACAGTGGACACTCGGGTTGCGAACGTGATCCATGTGGGTTGCATGTTCGCAACCCGCAGCATTTGCAACCCGTGTCTGTGCACATGCGGGTTGCGATTCAGTGCTTCTGTGCATGCACAAAGCGAGCTTTAGCGATTCTGCGCATGCGCGACCGTCGAAACCTGGAAGTAACCCGTTCCGGTACTTCTGGGTTTTGGCAGTCCACAACCCGAAAAAATGCAACCTGAAGCGTCTGTAACCCGAGGTATGACTGTACTGTAAACAAATACAAGCAGTTGATTGCCCATTATTTCACTGCAATCGAATACTGTAAGATATTCCACAGAGCCCCAACCCCTGCTGTATAGGTAACACTTTATCTCCAATCTCCTCCTTACTTTCATGATAGTGGTATTTGTCAGCCAGGGGAGAAATGAATCCTACATTGTACATTAACTTCATAGCAGTCAGGAGGAAACCTAATCTAGTCAAGCTTCTCCTGCTGGCTGCCTTCTAAAACTGCAGGCATCTCTCATTACTAGGATTGATTTATCTTGTACTTCACTGCTATTTTTTCCTCTCCATTGCAACAAGCTGGTGGTTATTATTGTCTCACCAGAGTGGTGCATGGTTATCTTCCAATGCACTCTACACAGGGCTACCTTTGAAGGTGACTCGGAAACTACAACTAATCCAGAATGCGGCTGCCAGACTGGTGACTGGGAGCAGCCGCCGGGACAATATAACACCAGCCTTAAAGGATCTACACTGGCTCCCAGTACATTTCCAAGCACAATTCAAGGTGTTGGTGCTGACCTTGAAAGCCCTAAACAGCCTCAGCCCAGTATACCTGAAGGAGCATCTCCACCCCCATCGTCCTGCTCAGACATTGAGGTCCATCTCCAAGGCCCTTCTGGCAGTTCCCACACTGCGAGAGGTGAGGTTACAGGGAACCAGGCAGATGGCCTTCTCGGTAGTGGCACCCACCCTGTGGAACACCTTCCCATCAGATGTCAAGGAGATAAACCGCTAGGTGATTTTTAAAAGGCATCTGAAGGCAGCTTTTAGTGTTTGATGCTGTATTGCGTTTTTACTGTTTTTTTGCTGGGAGCCATCCAGAATGGTTGAAGCAACCCAGTTAGAAGGGTGGCATATAAATAAATAACAACAATAATTATTATTCCCATTTTAAAGATTCACGTTTGCCAGGATTTCATTGAATTTTGGGGAATGTGTGAGGGGGAAACTGCCTAGGATTCTCTAGGGGAGGCCATGTGCTTTAAATCTGGCTTGCCCTCCCCACTCACCCTGACTTATGTGGCCTTGAGCAAGTCACTAGCCCTCCTTTCAGCCTCGATTTGGGCATCTTTAAAATGGGAATAATCATCAGAAGTTGGACCTTCAACATAGCATTGCACTGCAGCGTGAGAATTGATTCAGTTCAGGATTAGGGGCTGGCCCAGGGCATTTTGGCACCTGAGGTGAACCCCTAAATGGTGCCCTGGCTAGGGAAGCAGAGGTGGACGTGAGGGAAGATCTGCTCCAGGAACAAGGAGGGAAGAAAGGTCGACATTGGGATCTGCTGTCCTGGTGAATCCTGCCCCCTGAGGCAGTCGCCTTCCCTGGCCTCATGGGTGGCCGGCCCTGTGCAGGATACTCCATTGAGTCCTCTCTCCCACTATCCACGTCACTATCTAGTGTTCCACTGAACTCAGTAGAATTTTTAACTTTTGAGGAACCGTGCCTAGGGCAGTGTTGCAAAAAAACAACAACCCAGGAAGATGCTTGAGTCATCCTCAGGGCTGAGATTTATGCTGATTGCACAAGCAAAACAGTTAACCCCTACAGCGAAACAATAAAATTAACTTTTTAAAAAAAGCATTATTAAAATATGTCTGTCTGAAGTGGTATAGACAGTCTCCACCTCATTCTGCTGCCTCTGTAGGCATAGGCAAATGTAACGCACACTCCATCTCCAAAGAAATTAAGAGAGATGAGAGATCCGATCACAGTCTTGTGGTTAACCTTGCCAAAAAAAAACCCCAAGCCATTTCCTTGATCAAAAATCCGTTGGTACGTTTTGCTGTTGGTGGTTCGAGCCCACCCAGGGACGGCTGTGTGCAAGAATTCCTGCATTGCAGGGGGTTGGACTAGATGACCCTTGGGATCCCTTCCAACTCTCCAATTCTATGGAAATCCTTCTCGCTCTTGCTTTCTTGGGAAGGGGGGGGCGGTGAAACACAGACGAAAACAACAAAACTCTCTTTTGCTCTGATCTCTGCTTCTCAGCGTTGCTCTCTCCTTCCTCCCCCGCCTCCCTCCTCCCCGTAGGTAGAGAGATTCCGAGCTAGGATTGGTGGAGGAATTCTGGGGGGGCGGGAGAAGGGGGCGTGTGCGCTACTAGTACACCCGCGGCCGGCAGAGCGATCAGTTTTGCAGCTGCGGAAAGGCGCGCCGGGTGTTATTTTTTTATCTGCGCTGCTGGATTGATAGAGTTAGGTTCATATTTATTTTAGCTCCATAATTTAGACGGGGGGTGGGTAGGTGTTGTTAGGAGGTTGCGCAGAGCTGCACCGGTGCGCGGAGCTGCTTGGACCTCGGGCGAAGGTTCTCGCGCAGAGGTTGGATCTTGTGGAGGGCTGCGCTCGGGAGAGTCGAGGTGAAGTTTTCCTCTCTAAGCCTCCGAGTTCATCTCTGCCGTGGAAGCCCACGCTTTGGCGCCCTGAAGAGACTCGGGAAGATTTGCACAGAGGCGACAGAAATTGGAGGAAACTTGTAGCCTATATCCGGAGATCCTTTGACCCAGGTAAAAAGACGCGCGTGCGTGGGAACGAGCGTTTCAGTGTCTGTCAGTGCCTTCGGGTTGATGTAGCGTCGTCTGAGCGCACCAGCGATGTGGACCGTGTTGTACGCTTGACTCGTGAAGTTCCGCCGATTTCTGCCGGGTTTCCTTTTCCCAAGGTGTGGTTTTTTTTAGCATTGTGGCCACCCATGAAATTCACCTCCCTTGCTTCCAACAGCTTGTTGTCTTTATTTTTCGCGGACTTGTGCGGAGGACCAGATCCTGCGTGCTATAAAACGCTTCCTCGGGAGTAGACCCACCGTGGATTATTAGTATTTTAGTGACGCGCTATATTGAGTGGAACGTGGGAGGGCCCCTTCTTTGGAAATCAGTGTAACTTACAGCGAAGTGCTTTGCGCTACTGAGCCAAGGAGATTGGAAAGAGAAGGGGGGGCAATCGGGAGCGTGGTTTCCAACCTATATGGCCACGTTCCCGGGTCACATAAACCAGTTTATTCGCTCTTGAAACTAGTTTGACGCAGGGGTAGCCTTGGATAACTTAGGGATGCGCGCACATTATAATTTTAAGCGCAGTACTCTTGCTTAAGTGACACATGGATCGCTAAGTTGCATTGTTTACCTTTCTTTTTTGTAAAAAATATATATATTTAAGGGGGTCATCAGTATTTTGTCACTTGAATTCAGGATTCCCCTTTTGTTAATTTCCATGCTGCGTAAAAAGACGAGGAATGCATTTCTTCCCATATATAGGCTGACTTCCTAGGGCTCTTTTTTTTTTTGTAAACAAGAGAGGAATTCCAAAATACTCTCCTCAGTAATGTAGAGGATGCATGGAGACGACTTGCTGTGAGGGGTCAGGGTATACCTTTCAGGAGGGCAGCTCCTTTGAACAGAACTGAATAACTTGACAGATGGGTTGATGGGATTTTATAGGGCAGATCCATTCCATGCACATTTAATGCACAGGACTCCCTTGTGGAGAAACCTGGGAACTGTAGTTTCCCCCTGCCAGAGCTACAATTCCCAGCATCCTTAACAGACTGCAGTGCCCAGGATTCTTTTAGGAGAAGTCGCAGGCTTCAAATGTGTTTTAAAGTGTTGTTCAGTAATTGGAGTTGATGTCAAAAGGTGAGAGAATGGGTGATTTCAGCTAGGTCCTCTATTCAAAGGGCTTTGTAAACAGTAAACTGATACTGAGCTACACTGAAACGCATCCACTGTGTACTTTAAGCTGTTTGCTTGTCAGTCAGTGAGACTGGTGTAGACTTGTTTGCAACCCAGTGATGTAACGGTGCATGGATGCTCTTTTGTGAGACACCCCCCCCACAGGTACGCCCCTTTAAAGACGGTACAGTAAAAGTGATTTTTCTTAATCAATGCAGGCATTCTGGCTTTAATACTGTTTCACGCCTCTCCAATCTCTGAGCTGTGTGAAAGTCTGGGGGTCTAGGCACTTTCCCAGGGTTCACATTAAGGCACAACAGAGACTGTGTTGTCTTTATGATATATGGTCCTTTTACCTACCCTGAACCTATGATGGAGGGGTTTGCGCTACCAAAGGTTCTTGCTTCTCCCAAGCTGTAGCCAGGGATCTGAAAAGAACTGAAACTGAAATCCTAAAAAACTCCACATTCTTTTGGTCTCTGCCCACTTGGGCACTGAGTCCTCACTTTCTTAATGGCTCATCACCTTGCCTTAGTTAACAACTCGTACTCATTATCAGCCTGGCTCTTCCAGCAATTGAATTGCTCTGAAAATTCAGGGGGCTTGATTCAATTCTGACCCTTTAATGGTTCCAGGTATTTAGGGGAGTCTGTCCCCCCCAAAAAACTATAACACTACTAAGTCATCTTTCTTGCTGAACTCTGGCCCCTTCCGCTTTTGCTTAATATCTAGCCTGATGAAGAGTTCTGCTGGACTGAGAAGATTGCTTGGTGCTTTGTGGCATTTTGGGTATAATACCAGGGACCTTGGAATTTTCCGGATAAAAATGGCAGGTTAACCCTTTAGCTATGCATGCTAATGTAACCTAACCTGTCCTCCTCCACATATCTTATTTAGTAGGTCTCTCTCTGCTAAAAGCTTATTTATTTGGCATTCTGAGAATTGGTAAATAGAGCCCCATCGAGATGATGCCATTGTTTCTGCTCTGATACGACTATTGAGTCCCTGCTCCACTATTTCACTGTGGCAACGTGATCACAAAACATACTGTATTCACTAGGAAGTAAGTTTGACTGGTTTAAGAAAATGCAACCTAAGCCCTTCTAACCAGTTCCTCTGCTGTTAATGTTTGCTCATCTTTGTTTAAAAAGCTTGAAATCCGAATTGGAGGACTTCATGGCGGACAGGAACCATAGAACCATAGAATTGTAGAGTTGGAAAAGGGACTCTGAGGGTCATCCAGCCCAATCCCCAGCTATCCAAGAATCTAAACTGTGACGGATGGCCATCCAGCCTCTGCTTATAAACCTCAAAGGAAGGAAAGTCCACCACCTCCCAAGGGAGTCTGTTCTGCTGTTGAACAGTGCTTGCCCTCAGAGAGTCATTCCTGATGTTTAGTCAGAGTCTCCTTTCTTGTAACTTGAAGCCATTGGTTTGAGTCCTACCTTCCAGAGCAGGAGACAAGCTTGCTCCATCCTCCATGTGACATCCCTTGAGATATTTGAAGATGGCTATCCTGTCTCCTCTCAGTCTCTTCTTTCCCAGGCAAAACATACTCAGCTCTCTCAACCATTCCTCATAGGGCTTGGCTTCCAGACCCTTGATCATCTTGGTTGCCCTTGGTTCTGCCCACGTTCCAGCTTGTCAACATCCTTCTTAAATGGTGGTGCCCAGAAGTGGACACGAGATGTCAACTGTGGAATTGGCCCTTTCAACCATAGCTACCTGTCATACCTTGATTAAGCAGAGGGCACTTTGGGACAATAGCCAATGAATTCTCTGTTCTCCTATCCTAGAACTGAAGCCACGAGGTTATGTAGATCAGCCATACCAGAGTTAGAATCCTCCTTGTCAACAATTCGGTGGAAAAAAGAATTGTCTGGGACGCAAGCAAAGCTGTAATGAGGGGATTCTTGATACAACAGAATGTAGTAAAGAAAAGAACACAAAATGAGAAAAAAGATAAGATCTTGGACAAATTAAAAGAATTAGAGAAGAAATTAAGAGCGAATCCAAAGTCACAGCCAACTCTGAGAGAAATTAAACTCTATCAAACACAATATTCTAAATTGATAAATCAGGAAATTGAATGGAAGGTTAAATTAATGAAACAAAAACGTTTGAGTCGGCGAATAAATGTGGAAAACTGCTAGCTTGGCAGTTGAAGAGAAGACAAAGATTAAACACGGTTACAAACTTAGAGGTTGATGGAAAAACATTCAGAATCCAGTGGATATTAGAAAGTGTTTCCAGAGATATTTTAAAAATTATACACCCAAGGGCCGCAAGACGAAGTTGAGATTAAACAATTTTTGCCAAAAATGGACTATCTAAATTGTCTCAAGAAAACAGGACAATCCTGAACTCTAAAATAACACGACAGGAGATTGAACAAGCTATTCAGAACATGCAACTTGGCAAATCTCCAGGGCCAGATGGGCTGACCTCCAAGTATTACAAGACATTAAAAGACTATTTGATACAACCTTTGATGGAGGTCAGCAATGAAATTATTGGGGGAAGAGGGCACCGGACTCGTGGAAGGAAGCGTTCATCACATTAATACCAAAGTCAGAAGCTGAAAAGACACAATTGAAGAACTACCGTCCCATCTCTCTTTTAAATGTGGATTACAAAATATTTGCAGACATTTTGGCAAGTAGATTTAAAAAAGTATTAAATGAAGTAATTCATAAGGACCAGGCCGGTTTTCTCCCAGGCAGACATCTGTTTGCTAACACAAGGAACATTATTGACATCTTGGAACTTCTGCAAACAGATATAAATACAAAAGCAGTTTTAATTTTCATAGATGCGGAGAAGGCCTTTGACAATATTTCTTGGAAATTTATGATGGGAAATTTAAAAGAGATGGGAGTGGGACGGGGTTTTGAGAATGGGATTGAGGCGATATATTCAGAACAGAAAGCTAAACTGATAGTTAATAATGTGGTTACAGAAGAGTTCAAAATTGAAAAAGGGACACGACAAGGTTGCCCTATTTCCCCTTTGCTATTTATTTCGGTTCTGGAAGTGCTACTGAACATGATTAGAGGGGATCGGTTGGTTGAAGGAATTCAGGTTGGTCAGAAACAATATAAACTAAAAGCTTTTGCAGATGACCTGGTTTTGACCTTGCAGAAGCCAGAGCCCAGTACGAAAAGAGTATTACAATTGATTAATGATTTTGGTCGGGTGGCGGGATTTAAATTAAATAAACAGAAAACTAAGGTTTTGGGGAAAAATTTGACTGATACAGAGTCAGAACGGTTTCAGAATGAGACGGAACTTAATGTGGTTAAAAAGTAAAATACCTAGGGGTAAACATAACAGCAATAATCTAAGTCTATTTAAGGATAACTATGAAAAATGTTGGTCAGAAATTAAGAGAGACTTAGACAGTTGGTCAAAATTGAAACTTTCTTTGTTAGGCCGAATTGCTGCTATTAAGATGAATGTATTGCCAAGGATGTTGTTTTTATTTCAAACACTTCAGGTTTTGGACAAAACGGAGTGCTTTCAGAAGTGGCAGAGAGATATTTCCAAGTTTGTCTGGCAGGGCAAAAAGCCCAGAATCAAGTTTAAGATATTAACTGATGCAAAACAAAGAGGGGGCTTTGCCCTGCCGGACTTAAAGTTGTATTATGAAGCCGCAGCGTTCTGCTGGCTAAAAGACTGGCTACTTCTTGAAGACACTGATGTGTTGGATTTGGAAGGGTTTAATAATGTTTTTGGATGGCATGCATATTTATGGTATGACAAAGTTAAAGCAAATAAGGCCTTTAAGAACCATATTGTCAGAAAATCATTGTTTAATGTCTGGACAAAATATAAAGACTTGCTGGAAAATAAAACACCAAGGTGGCTTTCACCTTTGGAAGCTAAGGCCCGAAAAAGACCCAATATGGAGGCTAAATGGCCAAAATATTGGGAAATACTAGAAAAAGATGGAGACAATTGGAAACTGCAGAGTTTGGAGAAAATGAAAGACAAAGTGCGAGATTGGTTACATTACGCTCAGATTAAAGAAGTTTTTAAAAATGATAAGAAACTAGGGTTCCAGGTGGAGAAATCGAAATTAGAAACAGAATTGTTAGAACCAAAGACTAAGGTACTTTCAAGGATGTATAACTTGCTGTTGGAATGGAATACACAAGATGAAATGGTTAAATCGGCTATGATAAGGTGGGCACAGGACATTGGGTATAATATTATGTTTGAGGACTGGGAAAAGTTGTGGAGTAATGGATTGAAATTTACTGCATGTAACGCTCTGAAAGAAAATGTAATGAAAATGATTTATAGATGGTATATGACCCCAGTTAAACTTGCAAAAATTTACCACCTGTCTGATAATAAGTGTTGGAAATGTAAAGAGTGTGAGGGAACGTTCTTCCACCTCTGGTGGACCTGCCCTAAAGTGAAGGCGTTCTGGGAAATGATTTATAATGAATTGAAAAAGGTATTTAAATATACCTTCACCAAGAAACCAGAGGCTTTCCTTCTGGGTATTGTCAGCCAAGGGGTGGCAAAGAAGGACCAGACATTCTTTATGTATGCAACAACAGCAGCAAGGATACTTCTTGCAAAACATTGGAAAACTCAAGATTTACCCACACTGGAAGAATGGCAGATGCAACTGATAGACTACATGGAACTGGCTGAAATGACTGGCAGAATCCGTGACCTGGGAGAAGAGAGAATCGAGGAGGATTGGAAGAAATTTAAGAACTATCTACAAAAATATTGTGATTTGAGTGAATGCTAAATAAGATGCTAGACTAAATAACTGAGCACCACTTAACTTAGAAGTTTTTAAGAAAACAAGTGAGACTGTGAAAGTTTAACTCTTTATGAGAACCATAAGATTATGAAACATTGAAGAGATATAAGAATTTAAATAAGATGATAAATTGCTGACAAAATGTTATAACGATGAAAGTGGGAGCGGGGGATGTGAGGAAGTCCAAAGAAAATGTGAAACTATGTTAAGACAAATGTTATATTGTTCATTATGTTTATTATTATTGTAAAACCCAATAAATTGCTTTAAAAAAAAAAAAATAGAATCCTCCTTGTCAAGCTTGGGGAGCCAGTGGCTCGGCAGGTGCTGTTTGAATCCATTAGCCACAGCCAACAGGAGCAGTAGGCTGGGGTGATACAACCTGTAGTCTAACAACATATAGAGAGCCACGGGTTTAGACAGGATTGTAAGTTTTTATATGCAACGACAGCAGCAAGAATATTATTGGCACAAAAATGGAAGCAAGAAGAACTACAGACGAAAGAAGAATGGAGCATGAAGTTGATGGACTATGCAGAATTAGATAAATTAACAGGAAGGATTCGAAACCTGCGGGATCAGTGATTCTTAGAAGACTGGAGCAAATATATGAACTATTTGAAAAGTAGTTGTGATGAACAGATTACGCTAGTAGGACTGCAAGAAGTTTTGTAAGGTGGATTATTTGAAATATTGCAAGAAAGACTATGAAGAGAATTATTCGTTAAGGACAGTTAAATGTAATCTAGAAACTAAGAAATGCATAATAAGGGATAAAGAACGGAAAATCATCCGTGGTGTTGATGGAAGTCTAAAAATATTGTATAAGATGAGAAGTTACGTTGTATGACTGTTGGAACTGATATGTTAAAAAAAATCAGTAAAAATGTATATATATATATATGTGTATATATATATATATATATATATATATATATATATATATATATATATAAAGAGAACCATGGGTTCCTCCTCCCCAGGAACTCCCAACAGGCTGTCCACTTTAATGAAGCTGGTGTGTGGCACAAGCAAAGAACAGGGCAAATCGAGGAGAACTGAAACCTTATCATTCAGAGCTGAAGCTTACAGGGGCGGCCGACCTTTAAAAATGTCTTGTCTGGCTGGTCTACTTCCTCCTCTGTTGGGAGAATCTGTGCTCGTTCTCTTCCCCTCTCGTTTCTGCACTAACGGGTTTGTTTTGGCTCGCCTTGCCAAGCCTGGAGACGCGGAAACACCCTCCCACAGTGTGGCTGAGTGTTGCTAAGCCCTCTAAATTTAGGACCGGGTGAGATGCGGAACAGAGAAAGGGAAGGCAGGGAGAAGATCTGGAGTTTGGTAGGGCGGCTGCCTTGTTTTGATCATAAGATCTGGCAAGTAAGACTCGGGTGTCAACCGGTGACTCGTCCCTTCCTCCCCAAACATAGTGTGGAATGATTTCTGTATGCTAGGGATGGAAACCCTGATAATGCCTCTTCGTTGCCTGGGTGGAGCATGGGGTGTGCGTGTCAAAACTAGACTACTGTACATTTCTGTTTGTGGTTCCACCCACTCTGGCTCTGCCCAATGCTCACTTGTATGTGGCCCTTGGAAAGTGGTTCAGAAGGGAATGTGGCCCTCAGTCTGGAAAAGGTTCCCTAACCCGGATTTATGGCTGTGTGATATGGTTGTTGATGATAATAATAATAATAATAATAATAATAATAATAATATATTATTTATACCCTGCCCATCTGGCTGGGTTTCCCCAGCCACTCTGGGTGGCTTCCAACAAAAGATTAAAATACAATAGTCTGTCAAACATTAAAAGCTTCCCTAAACAGGGCTGCCTTCAGATGTCTTCTAAAAGTCTGGTAGTTGTTTTTCTCTTTGACATCTGGTGGGAGGGAACTGCCAGAAGGTCCTCAGCACTGGACCTCGGTGTCCGGGCAGAACGATAGGCGTGGAGACGCTCCTTCAGGTATACTGGAATGAGGCTGTTTAGGAATTTAAAGGTCAGCACCAACAATTTGAATTGTGCTCAGAAACGTACTGGGAGCCAATACAGGTATTTCAAGACCGGTGTTATGTGGTCTCAGCAGCCACTCCCAGTCACCAGTCTAACTGCTGCATTCTGGATTAGTTGTAGTTTCCGGGTCACCTTCAAAGGTAGCCCCACAAAGAGCACATTGCAGTAGTCCAAGCGGGAGATAACCAGAGCATGCACCACTCTGGCGAGACAGTCTGTGGGCAGGTAGGGTTTCTGTCTGCATACCAGATGGAGCTGGTAGATAGCTTCCCTGGACACAGAATTGACCTGTGCCTCCATGGACAGCTGTGAGTCCAGAATGACTCCCAGGCTGCACACCTGGTCCTTCAGGGGCACAGTTACCCATTCAGGACCAGGGAGTCCTTCACACCCGCCCGCCCCCTGTCCCCCAAAAACAGTACTTCTGTCTTGTCAGGATTCAACCTCAATCTGTTGGCCACCATCCATGTATCGAAGCAGCTTTTGCATGCTGATAGATTTGTCATCAGTGTGGTTAGGGTGATACTAAAAGTGTAGAAGATGGACTTCAATTATTATATACTGTTGTTGGGAGGAGAAACTACCCACGTGTTGTTTTTTCTATATCAGAGTTGGGCAAACCTGTATTGCAATTATTCTTCTGTGGGAAAGGTTGCAAGCAATCTTTCCAAAGATGGCTTAACACAGGGATAGTATTTGCCCCCATAGAAACTAGCTCCTGGAAAGAGGTGGAAAAATAAACCGTGTGAGAGAGCATCAGACAGGGGAAATAGTTTGAATTTTTTACACCTGGTTAATGCTGAATAGAGCATAGCTGGGAAGGTCTTGTTAACATCTGACCTTGTTTAGAGATGGCAGGTGGCAAGTGGACCTGCAACAAAATCTTGCAGTATAGAGTACAGCCACATGAGGGATGGAGCAAACTTGCTTTCTCCTGCTCTGGAGGCTAGAACCCAAATCAATGGATTCAAGTTAGAAGAAAGGAGATTATGTGCCAGCCAGGCAAAAACCTTCAAGAAGGACTGTTGAGTTGTGTGACTTGGGAATGTGGGAAGGGCCACATTCAGGCCCCTGGCTGGTGATTCCCTATCTCTGTGCCATTATGAAGAACAGAAACTCATCTGCCAAATGTGTTTCTAATAAGTACCGTAGATGGTTTTATGCTTTCTCTTGGTTTGCGGTCTTCAGATCATTTTCTCTGGAATTGTTTGTGTTGTCTGTGTGGGAGCACTTGGATCTGTTAACTGATGAGGCACACCTGAAAAGCACCCAGTCAGGGCAGTTCTTCCAGTAATACATGTTGCGGCCTTCTTTCTGGTGCAGTCTTCTTTCTGGGGAAACTCTGCTAGCCAAGGCAGGTGTCCGCCGTTCCTGCCTCTCCTCCGCCAGTGCAGAGAAAAACTTTGCAGAAAATAATATTGCTGGAAACATTCATGGCAGGCAGCAAATGCTTTTACTCATGATCCCGGATGACTGATAGGTGGCATCTGTCATGATTTGATGCATTTGAGAGCCTTATCCTCTCAAAGGCATCCATTGGATATCCCTGGGCTCTACTGTAACGAGATACAGAATCTTCTCCCTTGTTACTTTTCCCTGATCCTGTTAAATTTACACCAAGAGTTACTGCACTATCTCTGATTTGGATTTGATCTACCACAGGCTTGGCCAAAAAAGGCCGCTACCCGGTAACATAATACTATGGATGAGGATAGGAACAACTGCAAGTCATTATTGTATTGTTGTGAGTTGTGAAATGAAACCTCACACAAGCAAAAAAGGTCTCGTCCTATATCAGCCTTTGCCACCCTGGTGCCCTCCAGCTGTTTTGGACTAGAGGATGGGAGTTCTAGTCTGAAACATCTGGAGGGCACCAGGTTGACAAAGTCTGCTATTAGTGTACTTGGAAGCCTGTGTGTGTGTCTAGCCTAATGTAAAAATAGTCAGAGTGAAGCCAAGTTCCTGAGACATATTGCAAGATAACAGAGTGACTCAGAGCTGCTTTCCTCGCTCTGTAGAGTTTTGTTTTCCAAGTGCCCCATAAAGCGTGTGGGTGTGCATGCCTTAAGTCTGTCTGAATAAGAGGTTAAAAGTTAAAGTCTCTTAATCATCCCAAAAGCATTCCCCTCTGTAACATTTTCTTGTAAGCTGTACACCGAGATAAAGAGTCCCCTTTTCTTTCCCATCTACTGTGTCTTAATGTGTACTTGGAAGATCCCACTTAATCTGTTGACTTTGTAGGTGTGATGATTTGAGAGGCTGAGACTTTGATCCAAGGGTTTGGAGTCAGGTTCCACCTTCTGCTCAACTGGAGAATTGCTGGCTGATGAAATAACCCAGCTGCTGAAGGCTGGCCGTCCTGAAACCAGTTCTTCTTTCTCATCCTGCTTTTGATCAAGTTTTATATTGGAAGAAATTAGCATCGCTGCAATTGGATTAGATTTCACCAGACAAGAAAGTCCTGAGGCTGCATGCATTTCTTCAGATCCTGAACTCTGTGCTTTTTTGTCGAAACCCATCTTGTGGCTAATTGATATATTTTCACGTGTCTGTGTCAAGCATCTTAGCTGTACACCTGTACAAATTCTAAGCTTGTGAACAGCAAGCGCGCAGGGAGGAGGGTTGAACTTTCATATACAGTCGTACCTTGGAAGCCGAACAGAGTCCATTCGACTTCTGAAACGTTTGACTTCCAAAGCGCGGCTTCTGATTGGCTGCAGGGAGCTTGTCAGATGTTCGGCTTCTGAAAGAACATTTGAAAACTGGAACACACACTTCCAGTTTTCGATCACTCAGGAGCCAGAACGTTCGACTCCCAAGGCGTTTGGGAGCTGAGGTACGACTATTTGCAAATGCAGATATGTGCATTTAGTTAGGAGGGAGCCAGAATTGGTGGCGGATCCTCAATAATTGTATTTTAAACAGTCAACTTGGATCAGTGTCACATTTCTCCTCAGCTTCTGCACTCCACCAGCAGAACCAAGAGATGCAAATTTTGGGAGCTTATCTGAGGCAAACTGCAGTGCCTTAGTCTGATTTTGTGGGATGGCATAGAGGAAGGAAATAGGAGAAGTGGCAGGAAGAGAGAAGTTTCCTTGCCCACTGTTGATTCTGCCCACACTCAGTTTAGACTTCTTTTGAATGGGGCCTTCAAGAGAAAATTGTTCTCCTTCCCCTAATCTAAGGCATGGATAGGCAACCTAAGGCCCGGCGGCCAGATCCGGTCCAGTCGCCTTCTAAATCCGGCCCGCAGACAATCCGGGAATCAGTGTCTTTTTACATGAGTAGAATGTGTGCTTTTATTTAAAATGCATCTCTGGGTTATTTGTGGGGCATAGGAAGTCATTCATACCCCTCCAAATATAGTCCGGCCCCCCCACAAGGTCTGAGGGACAGTGGACCCGGCCCCCTGCTGAAAAAGTTTGCTGACCCCTGATCTAAGGTATCAACAATGAGCACTTCTGAAAATGTTACCAAGCCAGCTTCAATCCTGGATAAACCAAATTTATTAAAAAGGAAATAACCTTGAGATCCTTGTACTCCCTAGCATTAAATACAGTCATACCTTGGGTTAAATGTGCTTCAGGTTGAGTGTTTTCAGGTTACGCTCCATGGTGACCCGGAAGTAACGGAATGCGTTACTTCCGTGTTTCGCCGCTCACGCATGTGCAGATGCTCAAAATGACGTCACGCGCATGCGCAGAAGCGGCGAATCATGACCCACGCACGCGCAGTCGCGGGTTGCATTCTACTCAGGATGTGAATGGGGCTCCGGAACGGATCCCGTTCGCATCCAGAGGTACCACTGTATCAGGACATCTTAGTATTTTATTTTATTTTTAATGATATACCTGACACATAAATCTGCTCACAGGTTCATCTACCCCAGCACAATCTTATTGGGAACAGCACCAGGGGCCTCAGGCCTCTTTCTGAGCCTTGCTATCCAAAATCCTTGAAACCAAGTCTGCTCCTTCTGCAGGTTCTCAAGTGCGGCCATTCCCAACATGGTGCCCTCCAGACAGCTGTCCTGACTGGGGGTGACGTGAGCTGCAGTTCGAAACATCTGGAGGGCACCAGGTTGGGTAAAGCTGCTCTGGCACTTGTTCACCATTTGGGTTCACACACCCAAGGTTAAGGAAGCACCAGCCCCTGGATTAGTTTGATCTGTGAGGCTGAAAACTAGAACGGTGTGCTACACTTGAGCATGGAGCGTTGCCCAGCAGCCCCTCCTTCCCGTCCTCCAGCTGCTTGGTTGTAAATAATGACATAGAAAAGCAGCTTTTTGCCTCAAACGATCTCCTGCTGCACGGGGGAAGTTTTATTGCAGGCTTTGGCTGGGGCCTAAGTCCATCGTGCATCCCCTTCAGATTAATTCACTCCGTAAATCTCTCTGCAACCGAATGGGCCAGAGGCGGAATTCTCCCAGGGTCCTTGGCGGAATTGTCATGCCATTATTGTCCTTCTAATTCACGCTAAGCAAGCTGCTTGGATCTTGGGGTTCTGAAACGCATAAGCTTTGCCTTTTGTTTTGTTAAAAAGAGGGGTAGGGGATGCGTTTAGAGGAAGCTCGGCTGGTTTAAGCCCGGCTTTGAAGAAAACATGCAGAGAGAAGGGAGAGAAAAAAGATCAAAGAGAAACTGGTCTTTAAAAGGCTGGTGCCACTTAAGGACAATGCGGTAGTCATAGTGTAGCACCTCTTTTTCCCCAAGGAGACCCCCCGCCCCCCAGACAACGTTCGAAATTCGACAGGTGCCAGGTGCATTTTGCACCTGGCTATTGGCCCTTTGCAACCAAGGGAAGATGCCCGGGTGCCAAGATGGTGTCGGACGTCTCCACCATCTGGAGGTGCATGCGTTGGATCTTGACCGTTTTCACATGCTAACAACACATCCTGTAGAATTCTATCCACTATATTTTATCTGCACGATCAGAATGAATTCCAGGAACCAAAAGGTTATACAGTGGTACCTCGGGTTACATACGCTTCAGGTTACATACGCTTCAGGTTACAGACTCCGCTAACCCAGAAATAGTGCTTCAGGTTAAGAACTTTGCTTCAGGATGAGAACAGAAATCGTGCTCCAGCGCCGCGGCGGCGGCAGCGGGAGGCCCCATTAGCTAAAGTGGTGCTTCAGGTTAAGAACAGTTTCAGGTTAAGAATGGACCTCCGGAACGTATTAAGTACTTAACCCGAGGTACCACTGTATTGGAAAATACAACTCTCAAGTTGCCTGGCCCCAAAATGGGGCATTCCGTTTTGGCGACTTTAACCCTGGTTTAAGGAGCCCTGGTTTAAGGACCTAGCTCATATATCTTGAGTCTCTAACGCTGCCCTCTGATCTGCTCTGGAGGGTCCCTCAACTCCTCAGAGCAGACTGGGGCGGCACCTAAGGGAGCCACAGAGGGGAGCAAGGAGAAGTCCCATTACACAGCTGTATATTCCTGCATTGGGGGGTGGGGTGGGTGGACTGGATGAAACTCAGGGTCCCTCCCAGCTCTGTGAATCTATGAGCAAATGCCTTTTTTCTCATGGATGGGCACAACTGGAGATTGCCCAGTGTGTTTCGTTCTGTCAAGAATTTGCCAACAAAAGCTGAATTCTTTGATGATTTAAATCTATGAGAAACCTTTTTCTCTGCATGAATGCCTGTTGAAATCCCATGGAGCCCATTCTCCCCTTACACCCCCCCCCCGGTACTGTTTGCATTAGATGAGGCCATCGACAGGTGGCCTATATTTATCCCCTTCACACTTTCATATCTGCTCTGACATTTGGACAATGCGTCGTGCGTCTCATTCGGTAACCTGGCCCGAGCGAGTGGTGCATTCCGAATGAACGACCAGCATCCCTCGCCTTCCCCTCCAATGTACAAGCAGACACAGAAGTGATGCCATATTGAATTAAATTGGTGGGCCAGGCCAAGCCGTGTCAGTGCTACTGCAGTAACTGGCTGCTGGTGGGAAAATGAAATTGATGCTCTTGCAGAAGTAAACATCCAGGCATCCTGATCCAGCAATGAACAACTGGGCTATACAGGAAACCAACTTGCATATGTCAGTGAGCATATCTTGATGCCTACTTAGGAACATAGGAAGCTGCCTTATATGGAGGGGTCATGTAGACTTGCGCTTGTCCCTGTGCTAGAAGCACAGATCTGAGTGCAAGCCTGCATGCACTTTAGCGATAAACTGGTGCAAACGTCGATCCGGAAAAAACCAGTTGACATTTGCTCCGATTCATTGGTAAAGACTGGATTTCTCCAGGGGAAAGCAGTAGGGGAAGGGGAAGTATGGAGGAGCCCCAAGTCAGGTTATCAGTCCATCTAGTTCAGCAAACTTTTTCAGTAGGGGGCCGGTCCACCGTCCCTCAGAACTTGTGGGGGGGCCGGACTATATTTTGAGGAAAAATAATTGAACGAATTCCTATGCCCCACAAATAACCCAGAGATGCATTTTAAATAAAAGGACACATTCTACTGATGTAAAAACATGCTGATTCCTGGACCATCTGTGGGCCAGATTTAGAAGGCAATTGGACCGGATCCAGCCCCCGGGCCTTAGTTTGCCTACCCATGATCTAGTTCAATATTGTTGTTGTTTTTTTTATAATTTTTTATTAAGGTTTAAACAAAGAAAAAAGAAAAACAACACACACAAAAAACAATACAAAACTTAACAATAAAAACATAAAACATAACAATTAAAAACAAACTCTCTTTTCCATTTCCAATTTTAAATTACTTATTTTCTGGACTTCCTCAAACCTCCCTCCCTCATACCTCCAATCCACATTATTTGTCCAGCAGTTTCTTTTCCACTTTTTTATCCCAATCTTTAATTTAATAAAATGTTAAAATATATACCGTAACTTCAACTTTTTTTAAACCTAATCCTTACTCTTAATGTCATATAGCTTTAAATTTTTCCCTTTTATTATCAAATTTCCATTTCTTTAAACATCTTTAATCTTAATCTTTAATCTTAATCTATCCTTAACTTTAACCTGTACAGCTGGAAACCACTTATTTTCAATCCAACATCACTCTAACATTCCTTAATTTTGCAGTGTTTCTGAAGATAGTCTTTGAATTTCTTCCAGTCTTCCTCCATCGACTCTTCTCCCTGGTCACGGATTCTGCCATGATCTAGTTCAATATTGACAGGTAACATCTCTGCAGGGTTTCAGGAAGGGAGTCTTTCCCAGCCCTGCCTGGAGATAGCGGGGATTGAACCTGCAACCTTCCGCATGCAGAGTAGATGCTCTGCCATTGAGCCGTGGTCCTTCGCCTTGCATGGTGATGCTCCTCATGGCTCCAATGGAACAGAGTGGCTCAGTCAGTAGAGCATGAGGCTCTAACATCTCAGGGTCGTGGGTTCAAGCCCCACCTTGGACAAAAGATTCCTGCATCCCAGGGGCTTGGACTATAGATGGCCCTTGTGGTCCCTTTCAACTCTGCAGTTCTATGATATGCAGAGGATAAATTGTTTAGATTTGGACAGGAGTTGTCGTCTTTATTCTAAATCTTGCATCCTGTGTCCTTTTGGGTGACAGCGATAGGATTCCAATACATTTGCGCTTGTGCTAATTCCTAATTTGCGCTCTCTCAGCTGACTTTCCCATCAATGAAAGGCTTGGGAAACATTTTCCCACTCTGAATTCAAGCATACTTATCAGTGTCTTATGCGAATGTATTTTGAAATGTTTACATTCAAGGATGTATTGGAATTTGCTGGTCCTTTGTTTGTTTGGCTTTTAAAAAACAAGCAAACAAACAAGGGATGCTTTTGCCTTTAGATGTCTAAAGTAGGTCTCTGGATCCCTCCCATTATCTCATATCCAAAAAAATTATATTGGTGATATAAGGAAGAGTCTGGGTGTTCTGTTGCCTCTAGAGTATGACAAAGAGATGTCTATGGGAAGCATCTTTGGGGGAAACTGGTGCATGTTTCTGTTTTGGGTTTTGCAAAGTAGCAGATGGAAGGAAGTGATGGGGAAAAGGAGCTCATCTGCGGCCATGAAGTGGCCAAGTACCATTTGTCTCTTCTCTTTCTGCTGCTGGTGATCCCCTCTGAAGACAAAGGGACTTCCTACCCACTTCTCCTTTCCCCAACTGCCTTCTCCTTCCAAAGCAGCATGTGGCATTCTCACACTGCCTAAAATTTCACCTGCTGCGCGTCTGTCCCCTTCTGCGAAGGCACGTGGGTCTGTTTTATTCTTTCCCTTCATGCACACATGCACATCCCCCACCCCTCCTGACTTATTGGTGCTGGGAGGAATCCAATCCCTGGTCGAACAGCTGCTCAGAGTGATGAATGTGACTTTTCAGATGCTGAGCCTGCTGCCGTCCCTTATTTTGATGCAAATCTCCTTTGGCATCTTGAAAAGAGGGATTAGCGAAGGGAGGGGGGGGGTTAGGCAGGCCAGAGGAGTCTCTCCAGCTTGGTGTGCCTTCCACCTTCCCCAAGTGACTGTGTTTTAGCTCTCTGTCTTATTGTTTCCTTTCTCAATCCTCCAAGTCTCGTGCAGAGTTTGAATGCCTTCATTGTCTTGACCTGTTGCCAGAAGCAAGCCAGACCCTTTGGCTCTCTGTGCTGCATGGTGCGTTTTCTTCCTTTCATTTTTTTTTGTCCCCAGGAATCCAGCTAATAACTTAATAGCTTCTCCTTGCCTCCCTCCGAAACGTGCTTTGTTAGGAGTTTTGGAGCACACAGATGGAGAAGGAGGATGGGGAGAAGCTACATACTGACAGGCTGTTCTGTTACCACTTGTTTTCCAAAATCGGCTCCTTTCCTGGACTGGAACACACCAAGTCCTGCATTTATTTACTATTTAAAAGAGTCTTCCCCCCATCAAAACAACAACAACATCAGCAACAACAACCCCCAATCTCTGGAGGATTGGGCACACAATAGAGCATGGGTAGGCAAACCCACATGGATGGTGCTGTGGGTTAAACCACAGAGCCTAGGGCTTGCCAATCAGAAGGTCGGTGGTTCGAATCCCCGCGACGGGGTGAGCTCTCATTTTTTGGTCCCAGCTCCTGCCAACCTAGCAGTTCGAAAACACGTCAAAGTGCAAGTAGATAAATAGGTACTGCTCCGGCGGGAAGGTAAATGGCATTTCCGTGTGCTGCTCTGGTTCGCCAGAAGCGGCTTAGTCATGCTGGCCACATGACCCGGAAGGTGTACTCCGGCTCCCTCGGCCAATAAAGCGAGATGAGTGCCGCAACCCCAGAGTCGGCCACGACTGGACCTAATGGTCAGGGGTCCCTTTAGGCAAACTAAGGCCCGAGGGCCGGATGTGGCCCAATCGCCTTCTAAATCCGGTCCGCGGACGGTCCAGGAATCAGCATGTTTTTACATGAGTAGAATGTGTCCTTTTATTTAAAATGCATCTCTGGGTTATTTGTGGGCATAAGAATTCGTTCATTCTTTTTTTCCAAAATATAGTCCGGCCCCCCACAAGGTCTGAGGGACAGTGGACCGGCCCGCTGCTGAAAAAGTTTGCTGACCCCTGCAATAGAGAAAGAGAAGAGGTGGCATCTGCACTTGCAATGCTATCTTTGCGGGAAGGGGGGGAATCAAGCACTTTCCAGGCACACATGTGTGTGCAGTGTGCTGGGACTCTTTTTTGCAGAGTCTCAGCTGTGTTGGGTGGAGAGCACAGTTCATGGAGAATAAGGCTATCAGTGACTTCTAGCCACTATGGGTTGAAGGCAGCACTGCTTCTGAATGCCTGTTGCTGGAAACCACAGGAATAGAAAGTGCTCTTGCGTTCCAGTTCTCCTTGAGGGTTTTCTGCAGGCGTCTGGCTGGCCACTGTGAGAACAGGAGGCTGGACTAGATGGGCCACCAGCTGGATCTTCTTATGGACGAGAGAAGAAGAGAAACTGCCTTAGGTCATCGGTCTGTTGAGTTGTCTGTTACAATCGGCAACCAGCTCTCCAGGGTTTCAGGAAGGAGTCATTGGCCCCACAGGAACACTATACCAAGTCAAACCATTGGTCCATTTAGCTCCGTACAGTCTACACCAGGGGTAGGCAACCTAAGGCCCATGGGCCACAAGCGACCCACATAGGGGTCATTTAACCGGCCCACAAACCACCTCCGAAATGAGCCACCAGCTGGGCAAGTCCCTGTGTGCTGCGCTAAACCAGCAGAGTGCAGGGACTTGCTTCCGCGGTGCCGGAAATCGCGTCTGCGCATGTACAGATGCCAAAAATAATGTCTGTGCAGACGCAGACACCGGAAATCATGGGCGCACGCGCTTACGTGCATGTGCAATCCGGCCTGCTGGAGTGAACCGGCCCAGGCGAGGTAAACCTTGGTACCTACACTGACTGGCAGCAGTCTCTAGAGCTTCACAGAAGAGTCACTCCCAAGGAGAGGCTGGGGATTGAACAGTATGAAAAGCACGTGCTCTGTCTCCGAGCTCCAGCCATTTCCTTCATTTGCTCTTGAGATTAAAACTGTTGGGAGTCTTGCTCAATCAAGGGTGTGGAAGCACCGTTCAGGATGAATGACACGTGGGGCATTCTTACGCAGCAGGTTCTCCCCTTTCCTGTTTGACTCCTCCTTGTTGTCCATTTCATTATTTGCATGCCTGTAGCCCTTGCAGATGCATGCGTATGGAGACATGCCAACCTCTTGCATGAAACTGGAACAAATGTATATACCTGGCAATTTGACTCGTAACCCGGAGGGGCGGGGAGATGACTGTTCCGACATCATTGATGTGATCATTCCTTTTCCCTGAACACGTGGCTGCATTGAAGATGGGATGTGTTGTAGGCTGTGTGACTGGAAATTGTTGTGTTGTCGTCTTTGGCGATCACTCGTAGCCGAGTAAGAGTAACACGGTTTTAACAATGAGTCCATAAGTACTGTGGAGGCCAATTCTGGATCCACAAATCCTCCCACAGCGGGGACATAGGTTTCTGGGCAGGAGTTGATCATGGTGAGGGTTTGCCAAGCGATGCCCTCCTCTTAGCACGTTTCTCCCTTTCATCCTGAGTTTGAGTGTCTTCAAAGCCCATGACACCTTTAGTAAAGGCTGATCTCCATTTGGAGTGCTCACAGGCCAGTGTTTCCCAATTGTCGGTGTTTATACAACATTTACTGAGCGGGAGTTGATCACGGTGTGCAGTGCCTCAACGACATAGAAAGTCTGTTGCATTTCCAACAAAAGAGCAGCGATTAAGTAGCACTTGGAGCCACTGGTTGAGATTGAAGCATCCTCTGTGTGACAAAACCCTGATGCATAAACCTTAGACCACGGCAGCCATCCAGGATGCTCTCTGGTCTGGACTGTGCTAGCCAAAACAAAACAGCCGGTGAAGATAATCCCTGTTGCCCAGGACAGGGTGTGTCGACATACCTCTTGCTCTTTCTTGTGGAAAGTCCACCAATCTAGGATGCTTGAGAATGATGGTTCCCAAGGGGATGAGAGGGTAGAGGGACTGTAGAAGATGTGATATTCCAAGGGAGGCAGAACCCGAAATCCGTGTCTGTTCACATATCAGCAATGGAGCTGAGTCGGTGGGCAAAGAGCTGTAGGTACAGTCCTGACTGATTCAGGATTACAGCTCCAAGTAACTTCCCTAGAGGAGACTGACAATGAGGAATTTTTGAAGTATGGACAATCATCAGGATTCCATGCAGAGGTTCTGTTGCAGGTGTGTGGAAGGAGCACCATTGACCCTCCAGGTGAACTTCAACTCTCAACAGCCTCAGTGAGCATGGGAAATGACCAGGGAAGGTGAGAGATGCAGTTCAGAAATACCTGGAGGGCAGAAGGTTCCCCCTTACCAGTTGGCTTCTTTGAGCCATGTGCCACCTTAAGAACCTCCACGTTTGTTGTGGTACACACTTTCCCCAGTAGACGAAACTACAGACTTGGGTTCCAATTACAGCCTTTTGACACAACCATACTGGATGGTTTGGAGCACGCCTCTGTTGTCCAGTCCAGCCTTCCACAAACTTAGATCTTCAGGTGTCATTGGACTACAATTCCCAACAACTCTGACTGTTGGGCCTTGCTGGGGCTGATGGGAGTTGTAGTTCAGCAACATCTGAAGACTCACGGTTCAGAAAGGCTGGTGTGGTCTAACCACACCTTCTCGAGTATAAAACGGGATTTATGAGTTACCACAAAGGATTTTCGTGGGGATTAAGAAAGGGAAGAATCATAAATGAATTGCCTCGCCTGAATATTGTGTACAAACCTTTCTCCTTCCTCTGTATTTGCTTAGGAAAACATGCCGCAGACTCCTCCCTTTGCAGCGATGTTTGACAGCAGCGGTTACAACCGAAACCTGTACCAGGCCAAAGAGGACAGCTGCGGAGGACTCTATTACCATGAAAACAACTTGCTGTCAGGATCCTTGGAAGCCCTGATCCAGCACTTAGTGCCCACTGTTGATTACTACCCTGATGTAAGTCTCCTCCTTTTGCAAATTAAATTGGCCCAACCTACTGTGCATTAGAAAAGGGATGGGGAAGTAGGGGGTGAGGGTTGGCTCAGGTGTGTTGCGGGCAGTATGGGGAATGACTTGTTCTGTGAAGGGTCTGCCATTCACAGCCTTAAGCTCTTTTTCTTGTCCAACCGGAGTGCAACATCTCTCAAACACATTGGGCCACCGTCCACTGAGTGATGTTTGCGGTATTTCCCCCCTCCCCCATTTGCTAAGCCCCCAAGGCATTCAGCAATACTGCAGGCTATTAAAGTTGTTTGTCTGTGAATTGGGGTCTCATTCACACACACCCTCTCCTTCCCCTATTCTCTCAGAGAGTGTGCAAAAGGTCCCGGTTGTTTCCAGCATCTATGGGTAGGGCTGGGAGAGACCTTGGAGCCAGCAGCTGCCAGTCAGTGTAGACAATACTAAGCTAGATGGACCAACTGGTCTGACTCTTCATGAGGCACCTTCCTATGTTCCTAGGGATTTGGACACACAGTGAGATGGTTGATATCCTGCTCCTCTGTCAAAAACGACCCAGGAGTGTTGGATCTATTTTCGCCCCTCTGCCCATAGAGCAAGCACTAATTGTCCCACACTAAGTGGTTTTCTAAACGGGATGCGGGTGGCGCTGTGGGTTAAACCACAGAGCCTAGGACTTGCCAATCAGAAGGTCGGCGGTTCGAATCCCCGCGACAGGGTGAGCTCCCGTTGCTTGGTCCCTGCTCCTGCCAACCTAGCAGTTCGAAAGCACATCAAAGTGCAACTAGATAAATAGGTACCACTCCAGCGGGAAGGTAAACAGCGTTTCCATGCGCTGCTCTGGTTCGCCAGAAGCGGCTTAGTCATGCTGGCCACATGACCCGGAAGCTGTACACCGGCTCCCTCGGCCAGTAAAGCGAGATGAGCGCCGCAACCCCAGAGTCAGCCACGAGTGGACCTAATGGTCAGGGGTCCCTTTACCTTTTAAGTGGGTTTCTAGATGCCTGCCCACCAGACTACAGGCTGGGAAAACGCTGCTATTTGCCACGTATACACACAGCAAGATAAGCACCACACCCAAGTCTACATGCAATTTTCCCGTTTGGGCATTACCATCCATGTAGAAAACAGCCATAAGTGAATTGGCCCCCTTCAGTATGATGAGTTTGCTTCTATTCTCTGTGTCTGAATACGCACATGGAAATCAAATGTTCAGCTTTCCCTTTGATCTTCACAAATGTGCTGAGCAATCAGTTGCGACAGATTTCTTAATGTGTGAATATTGCCTTCACTAGGACTCCTTCAGTGTTCCCGTATTTACTCAAGTCTAATGCACCATCAAATGTCACGCGCACCTCAGTTTTCAGAACCTTGAAACAAAAAGAAGTATTTGCAGGTGGATGTAAATGTGTCATCGAATCTAATGCATGCCTTGACTTTCGCAATGTAATATGGCCCCAAAAGGTGAGCGTTAGATTCGAGTAAATACGGTAATTACTCAAATAAACAAGGTTCCTTCAAAACACTCCTTGCTTATTCATGTCCATGCATGGAAGCTTCGGATTGAACTGAATGACACCCTCGTTGAAAACTCACATGAGGATTGCTAACTCATGAAGCTGCGTGGAATTTTCCATCCTATGATGGCAACAGGACAGGATTCCATACTGGAAAGATGTACACTGTCTGGTCCTCAGTTGTATTCTCTTGCTTGCAAAAGTGATATGGAATAGATACTTTGAGCCATTAAGAATATGAAATTTGGCATAACATACACAGACTGCTGGGCTCTATTTATGGGGTGCAGGAACCTGTGGCTGAGCTTATGGAGCAGGGAAGCCTCAGCTGTGAAGATCTACTTTGAAGATCACTTAGGAGCTGGCTTCCCAGAGAGTAAAATAAGTGCAGCTGAATCGGTTTCACAAATAATAAATTATATTCATTGCTGGAATTTGCAACAGTCTTGGAATACCAAACTAGGGCTGGTCAGTTACAGCAGTAAGACTCATCCTGAGATTCTGAGCAGTAAGTTTCAACACACAGTGGATCTACCAAGAATGCAAGCTTTCTGGTTTTACTAGTGACTGTCTCTCCCATCTGCCAGAGCATCTTTGGTTGTTCCTTGAGTTGGTGGGACTCATTTGACAACAACAAGAAATCGAGCCTTTAGTGTCATCACCCCAGTCCTGTGGAATGCCCTGCCACTAGAGTTTCAGCAGGCGCCTTCTGTGTCAACCTTTAAACACCTCCTGGAAACTTTTCTGTTTTGCCCAGCAATTAAAAGTGCATCCCACACAATGGTCTGTTAGTGTTTGTGTCTAATTTATTTTTGCTTTGAACTCACTTTGAACTTTTTATTACTTTATTGTTTGGTTTCATTTTTTATATGGTTGTAAACCACTGTGCTATATCTTTATGATGCAGCAGTATATTAATATTTCAATAATAATAATAATAATAATAATAATAATAATAATAATAATACAATTTTAAAAATGGAGGTGGCACCAACCACACTGGTAAAGGAGATACTCTCTCTCCCTGTTGTTGTTTTTGTTTCTCTGTAGCACTTTATAGCAAGACCTCAGTACTGCTTGCATCAATGCTCTAGAGCAGCCTTTCTCAACCTGTGGGTTCCCAGATGTTGTTGAACTACAACTCCCATCACCCCTAGCTAGCAAGGCCAGAGCTCAGGGATGATGGGAGTTGTAGTCCAACAACATCTGGGGACCCACAGGTTGAGAACCTAATCTAAGGCATGGGTAGGCAAACTAAGGCCCGGGGGCCGGATCTGGTCCAATTGCCTTCTCAATCTGGCCCGCAGATGGTCCAGGAATCAGCGTGTTTTTACATGAGTAGTATATGTCCTTTTATTTATAATGCATCTCTGAGTTATTTGTGGGGTATAGGAATTCATTCATTTCCCCCAAAAAAATATAGTCCGGCCCCCCACAAGATCTGAGGGACAGTGGACCGGCCCCCTGCTGGAAAAGTTTGCAGACTCCTGCTCTAGAGTAGGCCCATGTGATTCTCATGGGAGGCTGATGCTGAGGTTTGCCTCTCACCACCCACTGAGTTCAAGGTAGAAGTGAGAGTCCCTAAACCACTAGGCAATGTTGCATGTTTAGCAAGAGGATGAATTTTGAAATTGCGTACCCAGCAACTCTGTTATTGACTGCGTGTTTATTACGCAACGATTGTCGGCTCAGCTGTGATGTTCCTTGTCCTGTCTGCTGCCAGCCTTGCATCACCAGGGTGTGGTGATGTACCCAGCACAGGTTCTGAAGACAATGGTGTTTGGCGCAATGAGGTTTCAAATGCTTACCTTGGCAGTCTTGGGCGCTCTCCCACGGTAACGCAACAAGTTAGCCTCTGCCTGCTAAAACATAAGCATGCGTGTCTTGTTCTAAATGGCCCCTGTGAAGTTATGCATCTTCTTAGCCGCTGTCTCTCTTCACCTGCAGAGAACATACATCTTTACCTTCCTGCTCAGCTCTCGGCTCTTCGTCCACCCTTACGAGTTAATGGCAAAAGTTTGCCATTTGTGCATTGAGCAGCAGAGACTGGATGAGCCCACAGCCGATAAAGTAAGTGGCCTGCCTAATCAATGTGATTTAGGGTTGCACCCTGCTTAATGACTGGGACGGAAGGTCATCTTAGCCAACACATCGAGGAGAGATGCATGTATTTATATTTATATATAGACTCCCATGAGAGGTGGTAGACTCTTCTTTCTTTTTCTTCTTCTTTTTTTAATATATCTTTATTAATTTAAAATGAATACATTTATGAGAAAACAGACGTACTTGCAAGTAAACAAACATACAATCAAACAAATAACAGAAAAATCAAACAAACCACCACACTAGAAGATACAAGAACATTAATATAATTATCATCATATACCAGTATACTGGGGACGCAGGTGGTGCTCGGTCCCTGCTCCGGCCAACCTAGCAGTTCGAAAGCACGTCAAAGTGCAAGTAGATAAATAGGTACTGCTCCGGTGGGAAGGTAAACGGTGTTTCCGTGCGCTGCTCTGGTTCGCCAGAAGTGGCTTAGTCATGCTGGCCACATGACCCAGAAGCTGTACGCCGGCTCCCTCGGCCAGTAAAGCGAGATGAGCGCCGCAACCCCAGAGTCGGCCACGACTGGACCTAATGGTCAGGGGTCCCTTTACCTTTTACCAGTATACTGAACACAATTATAAAACTTATAGAGAAGAAATTTAAAATTGACTTCCAATTAATCTCACTGTACTTTATCCATTACTTTATATCACACAGTTAGATATTTCTTATATAGTTTCTTTTTACCTCCCTACGAACTTATATTTATACAATACAGGGATCCATCTAATTCTGCCAAGATTATTCCATGAGAAGTGGTAGACTCTCCTTTCTTGGAGGTTTTTCAGCAGAGGTTGGGTGCCCATTTTTCATGGATTCTTTAGCCAAGATTCCTGCATTATGGGGGGTTGGACTAGATGACCCTTGGGTCCCTTCCACCTCTATGATTTGTTGGCTACAACTTCTACCCCGCCTTTCCTCCAAAGAGCTCAAAGCAGCTACACGGTCCTCCTGCCTTACAATACACCTTTTAATGGTTTTCTACCCTTAGTCTGTTTCCACCCTTAGTGAGAATAGAAGTGGACACAGAAGGGTAGGAAGAGATCAACATTTTCTGTTCCGTGTCAGCTTTTGTATGTGTTCATCCATAAGTTCATTCTTTTCCATTCTTGAACCAGTAGGGTGTTGTTTTTTCTCTTCCAAACTGCAGAAAAAAACTGCATTATCTTTGTACTTTTTTACCCCAAAATATGCATTTTTGTAACTCGTTGGAGAAATGCAGAATAACTGTTCCAATCTAGAAACTGTGAATTGTGATCAAACATACTTTAAAATGTAGACTGAACAGAAATCTCAAGCACCCCAAATGGAAAGTCTGTTTAGTTGAACAGCAATACTCAGTACAGTGGTACCTCGGATTAACTGTTCTTCACTTGAAGCACCACTTTAGCTAATGGGGCCTCCTGATGCCACCACACCACCGCCACACGATTTCTGTTCTCATCCTGAAGCAAAGTTCTTAACCTGAAGCACTATTTCTGGGTTAGTGGAGTCTGTAACCTGAAGCGTATGTAACCTGAAGTGTATGTAACCCGAGGTACCACTGTACTTAGTCTTGAGCCCACCTAAATCTAAACCATGAATATTCTGAGGGACCACACCTATGTTCTTTGTCTCTCTCTCCAGAACCGGTTACGGAAAATTGCCCCCAAAATTCTGCAGTTGTTAACGGAGTGGACGGAGACGTTTCCTTATGATTTTCGAGATGAGCGGATGATGAGGAATTTGAAGGAACTGGCCCATCAAATTGCCAGTGGGGATGAGGTGAGTCGCTTGCGTGGAGCATGAGCTTGCTGATGTTTCAAGATGTTCCTAATTACTGCAGAGCGTTTTCTCACATTCTGCATTGAAGTGTCTCCTGTGGCCCAGTGAGTTGGACCCAGGGGGAATTATAGACTAGTTGTACCTGGAGGGTCACAATGGCTCCCACCCCTGCTTTCTGCTATTAGCCATGGTAGGCTTTGTTGGCATGCAACCAAGGAATGGGGGCAATTGGCAGGCCCCTAGCTGGCTCCAGCCCACCGGCCAGTGTGCCAGGCAATCTCCAGTCCTTGTTGCAGCATCTGCGACCCACAGCTTCAAAAGCTGGAGCACGCAACTCAGCAGAGATAACGCGCAAACAGAAGGGGCGGGAGAATTTGTGTGAGCATATTTACAATCAGTTTATTCAGCATACATCAGGACAAAAGGGAAACATGTCCGATCTCATGCAAAGCAAGCAGCTTAAAGCAAAAGCTGTACACAAATGGAAGTTCCCAGCATACTGTGCTGGAGTGTAAACAGGCATGTGACACACAACAATCATGCGTGTTCCTTAAGGTGGAACAGAATATCCCAACAGGCTTTAGAGTCAAATGACATATGCAGGAATTGCGGAAAACCAATCATGTATGCAGACAAGGTTTTATCTGGTGGGTGGTGGCCTTGAGTGATTCAAAGACACTGTCTTGGTGTAGGGCAAGGAGAGAGCGGGAGATAGAATCAGAGGAATTGTAAGAGATGGAAGGGACCCCAAGATTCATCTAGTCCAACCCCTTGCAATGCAGGAATAACCCCTGTGTTGAGCCAACTATCACGTTGTGCTCATCTGAACCCCAAGGCATCTCTGATGTGTGAGCTGGATTCAACTAAATTGTTGCACTAGTCCAAGTCCTCCTAGCATTAACAGGGCTTTCCCGCCCCTCTCAGCCCCCCATGTCTGCTAGGGAGGGTCAGGGGAACCCACAGTCTGGTGGACGGGGAGTTTGTTACATCCAGCAAGCAGAAATGCTTTCGCTGACAGAACGCCTTAGTACAACATTGAATTGCACCCTGGGTGTCTTAAATGCGTGACATTCTGATTTTGTAAGAACTTTGCTAAAGGGTAGGGTTGGAAGCACTTGCAAACAAATACAGTGTACCCTCTGGATATGAACTTAATTCGTTCTGGGGGTCCTTACATACCCCGAAAAGTCTACAACATGAGGTGCCGCTTCTGCACATGCGTGTGGCGCGATAGAGCGCTTCTGTGCATGCATGCGTGGCAAAATCTGGAAGTATACACTTCTGGGTTTGCCACGTTTGCAACCCGAAAGTTACATTACCCAAAGGTAATGTAACCCGAGGATCCACTGTATAAATCTCCCATTTTCTGCCGGACATCGCAAGTGGTAGCAGCGACATCATCCCCAGTGAGGCAGTTGGGAAGCTCTGGTCTTCCTTTAAGACAACCCTGCATTACACCTGACAGGCAGGGAGGAGGAACCCTGGATCATTGCCACTGCCCAGGAACGCAGTGCCATCCATGAGCCCTGAGATGCCATGCAGCAGTAAAGGCCGCTGGAAGGAGTGGGAGAGGCAATAGTAACAAATTTCCACCCTATCCGATAAACAGAATGCCAGTGCCATTCGTCTGGGAGAGGAGGTCGGAACATGCCTTTAAAGCTTTAGTACAATTTTTATATTGCACCAATTTTAAAAGGGGAGGGTGGGGAAGAGGACCTCCATGTTGCAGGTAGCAAGACTTTGGAAGCATTTGTGGTTTGAAATCTGCTTTTATCTAGTGGGGCAGAAGGCAGAGAGGCTAACAGGAGGTATAGAGTCGGAGTCAAATGACAGACAGCCAACTCCTGCTTTTGTCCCCATCCTCCCTGCTGAGTTCGCCCGAATGGACCAGCCTCCGAGTCTTTTATCTGCCCATATGTTCGCGGTCTCCTGGTGCACTATGGAAATCACATACTTGAGCTCTCCTCCGTGACTCTCCCTCCCTTCCCCGTTCTGCTTTCTTCCTACAACCTCCAACCTATCGAGCTGCTCTGCATGTGCTCTGCTTCCAAAATCCCTTGGGGCCTCTCCCTCCCCACTATGTCCCCCCCCCAACGCTTAATCCCAGCTGCTTCTTTCCCCTTTGATAAACCACCTGTTTGCCAGCCGGTGCCTGTCAGCTGGCATGTAGGACAGCAAATGTGTGTGCGTGTGTGTACACACACCATTCATTTCTTTGCCCAGATTGTCCGGAGTTTTGGGCTGGGTTGTCATCAATATGCTGGTGACACCCAGCTTTATCTGTTGATGGACGGCTGCCCTGACTCAGCCCCAAACACACTGACCAGATGCTTGGAACCTGTGGCTGGATGGCTGTGTGGGAGCCGACTGAAGTTAAATCCTTCGAAGACAGAGATCCTCTGGCTGGGTCGGGACAACATGGGGTTGGGGGAGCCAACTCCCATCTCTCCTGGGGGCTCAATTAGTGCCAGCGCCTTCTGTCAAGAGTTTGGGTGTAACCTTTGACGCCTCCCTTTCTACGGAGGCTTAGGTTGCAGCCACAGCAAAGGTGGCGTTTTTCCATCTCCGCTGTATTAAGCAGTTGGTCCCTTACCTTTCTCGCCCTGATCTGGGCACAGTGGTCCATGCGATGGTCACCTCCAGGTAACTCGCTCTACGCGGGGCTGCCCTTGAAGCTGACCCAGAAACTCCAGCGGGTGCAGAACACCGCAGCGAGGCTCCTTACGGGGTCCTCGCCACAGGATCACATTCATCCAGTACTATACCAGCTGCACTGCCTCCCAGTGGAGGACAGGGTCAGGTTTAAGGTGCTGGTTTTGACCTTTAAAGCCCTATGCGGCCTAGGACCCTCGTACCTACAGGACTGCCTCTCCTGGTATGCCCCGCGGAGGACCTTATGGTCCATACATAACAGCACTTTGGAGGTCCCGAGCCTCAAGGAGGTTAGATTGGTTTCAACTAGGGCCAGGGCATTTTCAGCACTGGCCCCGACGTGGTGGAACACTCTGTCACAAGAGACCAGGGCCCTGCGAGATTTGACGTCTTTCTGCAGGGCCTGCAAGACGGAGCTGTTCTGCTTGGCCTTTGGCTTAGAATCACTCTGACCCCGTATATGGGATTTGGTATATAAATTTTCCCTTGGCTTTTTTGTTGTCCCATGTAGGACCAGCATGGATAGCTGGCTTGGGTGAATATCTGATGTTCCCTCCTTTTATGGTCTTGATTTTTAAGCTGCATTTAAAGCCTTATTTTAATTAACTGTTTGTTTGTTTGTTTGTTGTTGTTGTTTTCCTATTACGTTTTATTGTAATTCATATTTGGTGTTAGCCGTCCTGAGCCTGGCCCTGTCCAGGGAGGGCAGGGTATAAATTAAAATTTATTTATCTATTTATTTATTTACTTGGACTGCATATCCCACTTTATCTATGACGCCCAATGTGGGACATTGCATTTTATGGAAGCTTGCAGTGCTTTAATTCTCCCTAAAGGACTTAGATCGGTTCTGGTTGTTGTTGTTTTTTTAAAAAGGAAGGAGACACTTTCAGAATGAAATGGACAACTCTGCTTCAGGCCTACGAAAGGCCCTTGCTGGCCTTGCTTAGTGGCCCAAGAGCCACCTTCACAAAGTGTCCCCACGCAACATGGGTCCCTTAGCAGGGGTTCCTCAGATAAAAAGGTTCCCAAAAGATTATGTGAGGGTAATAAATGTTCACATAAAAATAATAACAACAAAGACTTTCTGAATCTCGATGAGTCTCTGTTTCCCCCACCCCCTTATGAAAAGGCGGGGTGGTTGAGAGAGAAAGCCAGCGTCGCAGTACAGTTCTGGATGTCATAAATTATTAGTTATATTGGCTAGTAATTCTCTTGGAAGGGTAAATGCAGGAGGGAGTGACCTTGTTTCTTTTGCACTGCAATGCAGATCGCTACAAGAGTTGAGGGGTTTGTAGGAAGTCCTACGTAGGTTTGCCCATCCGCCCCAGGTGACTGAACGGACGCCTTCCGTTAGTGCTGTTTGCTGTACCCCCCCTCCCCAAATCTTAACTGCTTTCAACCGCATCCTGTATGACAATATTGCAACTCGTGCTGGGTTTAAAGCGAGCCTGTCCAGATCCTGCCCACTAAGGACTGGTGTCAGAAGCCGGTCAGAAATAAAATACCCAGCTGTGAGCTAATTCTTTACTCAGAAAAACCAAAACAGTACAGGCCTAGTGATCCCTGCTACTCTGCCCAGTAGGTCTTGTCCCAGTGAGGCAGTTGCAAGCACTGAAGGTCCCTGCCTTCCCACCACACTCTAAGGCTCCTCCCCAGTTCCTTTCCCAGCAGCCCAAGGCTCCATCGTCTTGTGTCTTGTTGCTCTGCCCTCTTCATTCCTCTCTGGGTTGTAGGGGATTAGGGGGAGAAGAGCTGGTCACAGCAGAAGGCTGGTCCTCCTCCTCTCCAGCTCCTGATTCTGGACTGCTCTCTGTCATAGCCTCTTCCTGCTCACTAAAGCCTGTTGCCTCTCCAGCTTCGGACACCTCCTCTCCCCAGTCTGCTCCCTCTTCTCCCTCTGAGCATTGTCATCACACCACCAATCCCCTGGCTCTTAGCTTTCTTTCCCTGGGGGTTCCCACCAGTCCTCTGCATCCAGCCAGTCTATGACAACGGGCGAGAGTTTGGTAAGGTGGCCTTTGTGTCTGAATGTAAAATCACATCCACCCACTTGGAGACAGAGAACTTGAGTTTATTTATATGTGTATTTAAACATATGGATTATATCTCTCAATCTCTCTCCCTCCCTCTCTCCACCCCCCCCCCACTCACTCACCCCCCCGCCTTTGCATTGACCTTTATTAGCTGTCACATCAAATTGTGAGATAAGCATGTATAGCTCACCCAACAGGCAATCGGTGATAAGGATATTCTTTTGTCTTTAGGCTGAGATATCTCCCCAGTGATCACTGAAAGCCATCTCTCATTACGGTCTCCCAAGCTGTCACACTCAGTGCCTTTCGGCAGCGGAATCTGAGTGGGCAGAGATTTTCCCATCCAAAATCCTGTTTATGCTGTAATAAATTTATAGGTCTTTAAATGTGCTGCTTTGTTAAAGTGTCGGTTACTCAGTTTGTATGGAATGTTAAGCCAAACCATGGTTTAGAGTGAACAGATCGCCATATGAGTTGAGATCACAGCGACTTTGCTTCTCGTCCAATCATGCTGCTGCTGTGAGCCAATCCATGGTTTAGTTTAGCATTGCATCCAAACCTGGACTCAGGGCTTATCTTCTCACACACAAACTAAGAACAGTAAGCTATAGAACAAGCCTTGGCTACAGATTGTGGTTTGTCTGGATCAAGAGTCCAGGTTAGAGTATAATACTAAGCTAAACCATGGCTTGGCTCAAAAACAGTCTGATTTTGGTTTGTTTGTTTGTTTTTTAAATGAAGTAGCCTGTACTAATATCTTATTAAAAGTGTCATGGTGCCAGCACAAAATGGCTTCCGTGGGCTTCCAGAAGAGAGGTGCTATACTGGTGAATACTGCCACCCACAAAAAAGCCATGGGGATAACAATGCCTTACAGGGCTGTGCTAATATGAATCACTTTGAATACTTGAGGATATTACCTCTGCATGAAGCATAACTCAATAACAGAGCCAGTGTGGGGTAGTGGTTAGAGTGTAAGACTAGGGCCCGGGAGACCAGAGTTCAAATCCTGACTCAGCCATGAAGCTCACTGGATAACTTTGGGCTAGTCACTGTATGTCACTCTAACTTGCCTCACAGGAATGCTGTGAGGCTTAAAAAGGCGGGGAGGTATTATAATTATAATATTGTTGTTATTAAAATGTGCATACCATCCTTCATCCTTAGATCTCAGGGTGGTTCACAACATAAAATTATATAATGAAGGCACCAAGCAAACCTCCCTGGGGAGAGCATTCCACAAGTGGGGAGCCACCACAAAGAAGGCCCGTTCTCATCTTGCCACCTCCAGACCTCACGTGGAGGAGGCACACAATGTAAGGCCTCAGAGGATGGTTTCAAGGTCTGGGTAGGTTCATATGGAGAGAGGCTGTCCTTGAGGTATTGTGGGCCTGAGCTGTTTAAGGCTTTATTGGTCAAAACCAGTACTTTGAATTGGACCCAGAAGCTAAAGTGCAGCCAGTGAGCTTGAGCCAGGATTGGTGTCATATGCTGAAACCGCCTTGCCCCAGTGAGCAGCCTGGCCATCGAATTCTGCACTAGCTGAAGTTTCCGAACCGTCTTCAGAGGCAGCCCTGCATGTAATGCATTGCAGTCATCTAACCCTGTAGGCCACCCTGTCTGTTCTTTGGAGGAACGGTGAGATATGAATGAAATTGATTGATGAATTAATTATTTTCTTTTCCTTTGGCAGATGTACCGGAAAAATGTGCAGCAAATCATCCAGAATCTCATTCGTAAGCTGGCCTCCCTTAGCCAGTACGAGGAGGTGCTTGCAAAAATCAACGCGAGCTCGACGGACCGGCTGACGGTCCTGAAGACCAAACCCCAGGCCATTCAGAGGGATATCATCACCGTCTGCAGCGACCCTTACATGCTAGCCCAGCAGCTGACTCACATAGAGCTAGTGAGTTGACGCTGTCCTGCTCTGCGCTGCCTCCTTATCTTGCCAGTGTTCTGTGTTCACCTTTCTTTGACGACTGTGTGTGAACTTTGCCACCGTTCCTGATTCCTCTCCTTTCCCTTTTCTGCAGGAGAGGCTCAACTACATTGGACCACAGGAGTTTGTCCAGGCATTTGTACAAAAGGACCCGCTGGATAACGACAAGGTGAATGAGGGGGCTGGGTGGACATTTGTGTGGGTGCTAGGTTTCAGTCAGTCTACAGGACAAGTTCAGCTAACTCTATCAGTAGAGCATGAAGGCCTTCATCTCAGGGTCGTGGGTCCGAGCCCCACGTTGGGCAAAAGATTCCTACATTGCGGGGTTGGACTAGAATCAGTGGTTCTCAACCTTGGGTCCCCCGATGTTTTTGGCCTACAACTCCCATGATCCCTAGCTCACAGGACCAGTGGTCAGGGATGATGGGAGTTGTAGACCAAAAACATCTGGGGACCCAAGGTTGAGAAAGGCTGTGTTATGTACTGAAGTTCTCACCCTCGGTCAGCAGAGGGGGATACTGTAGATAGTTTTCACTCAGGTCCACATATGCAAATAAGGGATTGAAAGTGATGTGCAGTGATTGGATAGTTACAGGAAATGGTTACAGTTGCGTTGTACTGGAGCTCTATATAAGCAGGCTGGCTGAACCCTTCAGTTCAGTTCTGTGCTGGCCTGTGAATAAACAAGAGCTGTTTGAAGAATCGCTGTGTTGTCTGATATGTTCACCCACAACTTAACAGGCTGGACTAGATCATTCTCTTGATCCCTTCCAACTGTATAATTCTGCGGTTATGCGTGATTCTGCCACTGATAATCTAGGGTTGCAAAACTGAGACCAGGACTATGTGGGTTCCATATAGGAGGAGCAGCAGGGGAAGAAATGAGAGGATGGGCAGGAACATGGCAGTGCAGAGATTGAAGAGGTCGTCTGCGGTTGCTTTTGGCTTCCTGGAGAGTCATGTCACTCCATGATGCTGAACAGGAACTCCATTGGGAGGGTAAAACCGTCACCAGATTACAGCATCTGTGGACTTATTTTAACATCAACATCATACACGTGAAGCACTACGGTACCACTTTAAACAGTCATGGCTCCCCCAAAGAATCCTGGGAGCTGTAGTTTCAGGGAGACCTTTATTCCCTTCACAGATGGCTACTATTCTGAGAGTGGTTTAACAACCCATCCCTCCTCCCAGGGAACTCTGGGAATTGTAGTTCTGGAAGGGGAATGCCGCTTAGGTATTATACATAAAACCTCATTTAAACCAAGGTGACGTAAAGACAATAATAAAGCTGTAGAAGTTGAATTTCCCCCCGCTTGGAAACATGGCATGGGAAACAAACGGCTGCTCTTGTCTTCTCAGAGCTGCTATGGTGACCGGAAGAAGGCGCGGAACCTGGAAGCCTACGTAGAATGGTTCAACAGGCTCAGCTACTTAGTTGCCACAGAAATATGCATGGTAAGCAAATCAGATTACAGTTTGGGGGGTTGGGTACCATACTTGTAACACCCTTCCACATCAAAAAAATCTCCCTGGAAGTAGTAAACTGAAAATGGGAGGTATGCTCAATATTCCTCTAGTTCAGGTTTCCTCAACCTCGGCCCTCCAGATGTTTTTGGCCTACAACTCCCATGATCCTTAGCTAGCAGGACCAGTGGTCAGGGATGATGGGAATTGTAGCCTCAAAACATCTGGAGGACTGAGGTTGAAGAAGCCTGCTCTAGTTTATGTTGGGAATGTGTTCAACTTGGTGTTTTGTTTTTAACATGGAGGAGAATTTAAAATATGATACCCTGCCCTCTCTCTAGTGTGAAATGGTATATCCCTCCACCATTTGAGTCTGGAAAGGGGTTGGCACCAATGATGCCAGGTAATGCTGCCAGGCCTGCGAATACGTGTGTTAATCGGCTCTACATTTCAATCCCTGTACGAAATCCTTTCTTCAGATGATTTTAATTTGCTCACCCAAAGAGAATAAAATGTGTGCGAGCCTGAAGTACCTAGCTAAGGTTAGCAGAAGGGCCTTGATAGCCCTCCACTGAATGCGAGATGAGAGTCCCATTGTGATTTTCTGTCAGTTCCGAAACAGCCACTAGTACATAGATCAAATATACCAAGCGTGGAGCTGATGGAACAAGCTAAAGTCCTCCTTGTGTTGCAAGTTCTTGTACTGTATCTGTTGAATAATGTTGAAATGTTGCCTTATGAGGCTTTGCCCTTGGGTGGGAAAAATATTGTGCCCGGGAAAGGGAAGTGGGAGTCAACAGACACTCAAGGAATAGTTTCGGAGAAAAAGGTTTTATTTCTACCATTCATGAACTGGTAGAAGGAGCAAGTGTGATAAGTCACAAAAAGCATGCACGAAGTTCACAATCATGTGCACAAGCATATATACCCCTTTCCAGTTCCCTCTTCCTTTCTCCTCCCTCAGGAGTCCTGCCTATGAGTTCCTCTGAGCATGAACAGAAAGCTGTCTTGGGACTATTGGACTCTTGGCAGGAAACAGACATTCCTTGAGTGTCTGTTGACTCCCACTTCCCTTTCCCAGGCGCAATATTTTTCCCACCCGAGGGCAAAGCCTCATAAGGCTACAAAATTACAGTGCCATAGATGGTAGGGACAGTGATTTTTTTGGCAAAAAGATGAGGCGTTGGCACTCATGAAAGTGCCGTGGGTGCCAGCACAAAATGGCCATCATGGGTAGAAAAAAAGAGGTTCTGGAACTCTCTACCAGTTGAGTCCTGTTACAAAAGAACCCTCTGGATATAGACATATGTACCTGCGCTTTTCCCCTTCATTTGTTCCTTCCTCTACAAGAAATAAATTAAATTAAATTAATTCTCTTTTGGGTTTGTTTTCCTTCCTTCAGCCTGTGAAGAAAAAGCACCGAGCGAGGATGATAGAGTACTTCATCGACGTGGCCCGGGAGTGCTTTAACATTGGCAACTTCAACTCATTAATGGCCATTATTTGTAAGTATAGATGGGAATCCTTCGTAGTCGCATGGTATTTTTAAATTGTTGCTTGTTAAAGGGTGCTTGGTTTGGAGAATGAGTTAGCTCACCTCAGTCTGATTCAGGCCAGATCTGGGCAAAGCCTTGTCCAGCTTGTGACATTGCAGATGTGGTTAGACTCCATCTCCCATCAGCCCCAGAGAGCATGGTCAAACTGAGCTGGCTTTCTTCCCAATCTCTAGTTGTAGCTTAGCCAGAAGCATCTGGGGGGCAATAGGTCAGGGAAAATTTATATTGTTGCTGCCAACAACTGTACCCTGTGTCTCCCCACTCCTGCCACGCAACTGCTCTGTAATGTAATATCACTAACCGGATAGAACTGTTTTGCTTTGCAGAGTGAATAATAATAAAGATACTTACCAGTTGTACTGCACAGAATCTTTAGTTAGGACCCATGCAATTCTTTTGATTGCAAATTGTTTTAACTGATTTTAATATTGTGCTTCTGTATTGTCACAATCCACACTAGGATTAAGAAATACGATGATCGTTCAGATTGCTTCACATCCATTATCTAGCTGCAATCCTTACAAGAACCCTGTAGTCATTGGTATTATCCCCGATTTGAGGAGGGAAGCACTGAGGCCGAGAGAGAATGGGGTGCCAAAGGTTACCATGGCAGAGGCAAGATTGGGAACAAACACTTCCTGATGCTTAGTTTTGTCTTTTACGCTGTGTACAAACCCTGCATTTAAAGTATCTGACTTCTACCAAAAACGAATCTGGGGAGCTGTAGTTGGTTACAGGAGCTGGAAATTGCAAACTACAGTTTCCAGGATTCTTTGGGGGGAAATAATGTGCTTTTAAATGTTTGGCGTACACATAGCCTTAGTCCCAACTCTCAGGACAGAAGGATGTGAGGCTGCTTTTGCTACCAGACCTGCAGCGCCAATACTTTCTAGTCACTTCTTCATAATGCTGTAAGGAGTCCAGAATGGCTATCTTTGCAAATATTCAATTCCCTGTCCCCTGCTTTTTAAATATATCTAGTCCAGAATAATCATGTGCTCTTTCGCTCTTATTTCTGCATCTTCCTTGCGGCCTTTTGAACTAAAAGCTGGGATGAACATGAGCCCTGTCTCCAGGCTAAAGAAAACCTGGTCAAAAGTCAAGACAGCCAAATTCGACATTCTTGAGGTAAATGTGGTTTGGTCACCTGAAATCTTGTTTATCCAGTTGTTTTTCAGCCAGTGGGACAGAGAGAAGTGGTTGTCATCATCTATGCAAAGATATTTACCGTATTTTTCGCTCTATTGGACGCACCGGACCACAGGACGCACCTAGTTTTTAGAGGGGGAAATCAAGGGAAAAAATATTATTCCCCCCCAGCCCCAAAGAGCAAGGGACAGGCTGCGCGCAGCCTGTCCGCTTCTCCCAGAGCTTCTCGGGGCTGCGGGGGAAGCCTGGGTCCCCCCCCCAGCCCCAAAGAGCAAAGAAGCCAAGAGCTAAACCTCTCCAGCACAGCTAAAGAAGAAGACAAGGCAGCGAGCGCAATCCATCCCGCTCACTGCCTTGGCTTCCTCTTTAGCCTTGAGCAGCATCTTTAGCCGTGCGCAACGGGATGGATCGTGCCCGCTGTCCACCGGGGCTGGACTAGATGACTCCTGGGGTTCCCTTCCAACCCTGCAATTCTATGACCTCGGAAGGTGTTGGGGGTCTCCACCACTGGAGGCTTTTAAGCAGCAGTTGGGTGACCATCTGCCTGGCGTTCTTTAGCTGTGATTCCTACATTGTGAGGGGGCTGGGCTAGATGACCCTCGGGTGGCCTTCCCAACTCTATACAGTCCTACACTTCTGCGGCAGGAGATCCACAGCCACTTCACACAATGCCCTCTCCCAATTTTCATTGGAGAGACATGTGGCTTCAGTGTCTAGGTAGATACCCCCCTACCTGCCACTCTCCCCCCACCCCACTTAAGCCGAGGGAATTCCTGCCCAGAGATGCTCCCAGGTGAGGCAAGGGTTAAGATCTACCTCTGGTAAATGGCTTTCCCTTTTCTCTTCTTCTTCTGTGCTATTTCCTTCTTTTGTGTTTTGTTTAATCTGTTTTTATTGTATACTAAAATAAAAGCTGCAAAGTTTCCTTTTTTATAATATCCCCCCCTCCAAACTAAAATGTTACTCTAGATAAAAACACTGATCCAGAGGAAAAGAAGGGGGTGGAGAAAGGACGAAAAAAGAAAAAGAGGTAGAGATAGAGATTTTTTAAAAGTTGGCTTCTTTAGCCTTGCACAGCCTCCCCCGGCTGGAGAGGAAGCCCGGGCAGCGAGGGGATGGATCGCGCTTGCTGCCCGGGCTTCCTCTTTAGCCTTGCGCAGCCTCCCCTCCCCCCCCCCCCGGCTGGAGAGATTGCGCAAGGCTTTTCTAGAGGAGGGAGAAGGGACTGACTGACTGCGTCAGTCCCTTCTCCCTCCTGGGGAAAAGCCTGCAAGAGCCGCACGAATCTTGTGTGTGGCTCTTGGGGGCTTTTCCTGCCTGCCTCCCCCCCCCCCTGCATTCGCTCCATAGGACGCACAGACTTTCCCCCTTAGTTTTTAAGACGGAAAAACTGCGTCCTATGGTCCGAAAAATACGGTACCTATTCTGTGCATTTTTTCTGTCCCTAATGCTAGTTCCATTAAAGATTGGAGAGGGTGGGTAATATCTTAAAATGTTCTGACTACACACAATGTAGCAACAAGAGAAGCTCCTAGCCCATTAGAAAAATCTATAGTAGTCTATGCTTTCCAGATGCCATTTAATGGGCAACGCTTTATTTATTTATTTTGAACGTTTGTAATCTCTCCTTCACCTGAAGGTCCCAGGGCAGAGAACACAAACATAATAAAACAAAATAATATACTAAAAGGAACATTACACTGAAAATCTATTCCATGGGCGAATATGCAGAACATGGGTCCCAATTTGTTAAATTTCCTATTACTTCCAAATAGCTTATCTGACTCAAACGTCTGATTATCTAAGAATGGAGCTATACAGTGGCTTATCTCCATCCATCTCTGTCTCTCTTTCGAATTTTGGATGAGCCTTTGCTGGTTGTCTGCTTTATTAGTTTATTTCATAAAATTTACATATCGCTTGATCGTAAAAAGTAAGCAAACCTCAGAGCAGTTTACAGATGAAGAAAACAATGAAATTATTGGTAGCACCAGCAGCAAACGAAAAACTATCTAAAAACAGGCCAATTGCTGCTTTGTATTCGGTGCTCTTCCACTGAATTAAATGCTGGTCTTTTAAATAATTTCGTAGTGTCTGCTATGGCATGGAAATGTTGTGAACATTTCCATTCTTTTTTTTTTAAATCTAGCATCAAATGGACCCTTCCAGCAATTTTTACAATTACCGCACAGCTTTGCGAGGAGCAGCTCAGAGGTCTTTGACAGCACACAGCAACAGAGAGAAGGTATGATTTGCAAACATATTTGCGGTTGGCCAGGGATCAAATTTACTTATTAGGAGGTATGCACCAGGTAAGCCATCTGCCTGGAGCACAGCTTCCTACTAACTGGGAACCGTCTTGGGGGGTAAATGTGCATTTTTGGTCACTGATTGTCACTTTTCTCATAGAGAAATGTAACATCTGGCCTGTCCTAAAGGGTTCTGTGTGCTTTGCACTAAAAAATACTCTTGAATACTGTGCCAAGGTAATCACAGTTTCATGCCCAGGAAATCTCCCTTCTGCAACTTGTATAAATGATGCAAGCTAGGCCAATTTGTATACCGGTAGTTCTCTTACTTTGGATAATTTATTCCGGTTTGGCTAGTCATGAGGAGAAGCAAGGAGCTATGCAATATCGCTGTCCATCGCCATTAGGGATCTATTTCATCCATCCCTTGGCTCCTCATATTTTGCCATACGTTGCCCACACGCTTTCAAACATATACATGTGACTCTTAAGGCCTAGGAATTTGTCGTTGTCGTTTTAAAAAATGAAAGGTGAGGGCTAGTGGTGATGTCAGAGGCTCTACTGTTTTTAAGCTAGCAGAAAGGAAGGCTTTTTCATGGTGATGGGGAACCTTGCAGAATTTCATTGGACTCCAACTTCCATCATCCCCAGTCCATGTGGTTGTTGGTCTTGAATGATGGGAGTTGTAGTTCAGCAACTTCTTGAAGGCTACATGTTCCCCAGGCATGTGTTTTAATAATGCAAATGAATCAATCTGGAACACTAATTATTTGGGCAAGCCTTCCACTTCCACCCTGATGGGGAAATGCGATGTTATTCCTGTCCATGTCTGTCTTTGCAGAGAATCAATTTCTTAGTGGGTTTTCTCTCTCGTTTCCATTGCCCCAGAAATGGAGCAAAGTTAGAAAAGAGTGAGAAGCAAACACTTTGCTCTTTCCGGATGAAAGGCAGAAAGATGAAAGCTTTGCAGGCTGCTCCTCGGCCAAAAGATATTCTCTGAAATCTCTATACTTTGAGGAAAGCAGTACATCCTGGAGTTCAGCTGAACCTTTTAAAAAAGGCAGCCTTTACCTGTATGATCAATTGTGGGTTGGGTTGTTTGTTTTGGTGGGAAAGGAATGCTAGCAGTAGAAACTACAGGAGGGGGTTGAAAAGATTATTATGGTCCAACACCCCATGAAATTGAGGTTGTGAAGTGGGGAAAGAGGAAGGTTCATATATCAGGTATTGAGACTCTTATGATAAGCTTGTAAGTTTGGAACTATACTGATATTGTGCGTATGTGTCCATGTGTTTGCGTGCCAGATGCAATGGGAAACCCAAAGGGAAACTGGCTCCCATTTAGCTCCCAAGCTAAGTTCAAAAAGTTGGTTTTGGTGTGCAAAATCCCATAACACTTGGGACCAGATTACCTGAGGGACACCCCTTATATACCAAATCAGTCACTCCTAGGGCTGGGTGATATATCGATATATCATCCAAAATCGGTTTGAAGTCCATATCATGATATCGGTTTCATTATTTTTGACCTGCTAACATATTGCGAATCATGATGTGTGCATGTGTGTGTTATGCAAAGATCACAGCCCATTCATTTACGTAGATCCACCCTTATTTCAGACATTGTGATATATTTGTATATCACGATGTTTGGCTGTTGATATATCACTGTGTTGAAAACCGGGTATCGCCCAGCCCTAGTCTCTGTGCTCTGGAGATGGTGGCCCCCTGCAGATACCATTTTATTAAGAGGTCCATTCCACACAACATAGGAATCGGGTCTTTATATTGTCACAGCACCAGCCCTTTGGAATCACTCCCCACTTGAATATCAACTAGGCTTCATCTCTGCTGTCTTTTCGGTTCCAAACGAAGACTTTTCTCTCTCAACAGGCCTTTTAAATTGAGGTTTCCCAGTGTGCGGCTGTATCGGGCTGGTTTTTAAGATGTTTGCTCACTTGTTGCTTGCTGCCCTGGGGTCCTTTGGGAAGAAGAGCCAGGGTATAAATTTAATAAATAAATTAGCAAATACATCCAGAGTGAAGAACCTTCAGCTCAAGGTTGGCCACAGTCCTGCTTAATTTCAACTGGGCCTTAGGAATTTGCGGGGAGTGTAAAGAAAGATCCTTGAAGGCGTTTCGGAAGATGGCAATGCCATGGCAGTTCCCAGGCATTACCACTTTCAGTCTTGTTGTTGTTCGTGGTTTTCAGAATACACTTAACAACTCATAAGTTCATTAATACTTGTGTTCAGCCCCGATCCCTGGCCTTTGGTAGAAAGAGTGTGTGCCTTAGACAAACAGTGTCACTATTATGCTAGCTTCAGCGCTGCTGAAAGGGAGGGGAAGGCTACTAGACAGTGTCAACGGTGCTGAACTAGATGAATAAAAAGGTCAGACTTTGTATAAGGCACCTTAGAAATGCTCCTTTGCCTCCAGGCTACGTGCATTAGCCGTTTTCAAGTTTTTACTGGAACACCTTGACTTTGCCCATTGTTGTGCTGCCTCCCTTCTGGAATGGATGCTAACTAAGCCCGTTGTTCCCCTTCTTCCTTAGATCGTCATCCCTTTCTTCAGCCTGCTTATCAAGGACATTTACTTCCTCAACGAGGGCTGCGCCAACCGCCTGCCCAACGGCCACGTCAATTTTGAAGTAAGTAGAGCATGCTCGGAATTTCTCGATGTGTCTGTGTGTGGTTTGTTTTTTTAACCGACAAGCTTTGCTAATTAAACTGTGAGCAGAAAGCCTTGCCGGAGGGTTGGCTGCCTATCTCTTGATGCTAATTGTGAGCATGACTAGTCCTGGAGGTCTAGACTTAATCATTTGGTGTCTGCTGCCGGGTCCTGTTGGCAAAGACCCCACCCTTTGGGGGGAGAATGTCTGCTCTGACTTTGTCTCTTTCACTTCTCCTGGTTGGCCATGCCCTTCCTCTAAAAACAGACAAGCATTCAGGTTCCCCCTCTCTCTCTTTACATCTGTTTTAGGACCACATCTGCCCTATACATTTCAAGCAGAATCATAGAATTGTAGAGTTGGAAGCATAGCTGTCAGCTTTTCCATTTTCTTGCGAGGAATCCTATTCGGAATAAGGGAATTTCCCTTAAAAAAAGGGAAACGTTGACAGTTATGGTTGGAAGGGACCCTGACAGTCATCTTGTTCAATCCCTCAATGTAGGAATCTTTTGCCCAATGTGGGGCTCAAACCCATGACCCTGAGATTAAAGGTCTCATTCTCTACCAACTGAGCTCTCCCATTTTAAACCGTCATGGCTTCCACCAAAGAATCCTAGGTACTGAAGTTTGTTAAGGGTGCTGAGAGTTGTTAGGAGACCCCCATTCCTTTCACAGATTATGAAGCCCACTTCCTGGGAGTTGTAGCTCTCTTAAGGGTGAAGTATCACCATCATATAAGGGTGAAGTGGCGTCATCAGTTCTTACTTCAGGAAAAGTGTACCTCTGTCGTAAGGGACGCGGGTGGCGCTGTGGTCTAAACCACGGAGTCTAGGGCTTGCCGATCAGAAGGTCGGCGGTTCGAATCCCCGCGACGGGGTGAGCTCCCGTTGCTCGGTCCCTGCTCCTGCCAACCTAGCAGTTCGAAAGCACATCAAAGTGCAAATAGATAAATAGGTAGCGCTCCGGCGGGAAGGTAAACAGCATTTCCGTGCGCTGCTCTGGTTCGCCAGAAGTGGCTTAGTCTTGCTGGCCACATGACCCAGAAGCTGTACGCCGGCTCCCTCGGCCAATAAAGCGAGATGAGCGCCGCAACCCCAGAGTCGTCTGCGACTGGACCTAATGTTCAGGGGTCCCTTTACCTTTTTTACCTCTATTGCAGCTGTCGGAAATGCTAATTTGGAATTTTACACCACGCATCCCTCTCTTTTCTTGACTCAGACTTTGATTAGTTGTTGGGTTTGTTTTCTTTTTGTGGACATGTTTTTACTGACCTTCTCTGCCCTCTATTAAATTCCAGAAATTTTGGGAACTGGCTAAACAAGTGAGTGAGTTTATGACGTGGAAACAAGTTGAGTGCCCTTTTGAAAGAGACCGGAAAATCCTTCCATACCTGCTCACCGTCCCAGTCTTCAGCGAGGATGGTAAGAGATGTGCAAACTCTGGTCATTGTGCAGTGCGCCTGCTGTCATCTATCAATTTATTTTTTGGGAAATGCAGAAGACCACCCTAGCTTTGTTGGAAGTAGCCCCTTGGGAGAAGGGCAGATTTGATACACCTGTGAGTCTCTGGGGAAGAGGGGTACAAAAAACCCACAGTACTACAAGTTAGTGATGAAAGGCCAGCTATATACAGTGCTGATTGGCTAGTATCCATAGCATCATCAAAACAACCCCCGCTTCCAATCGCAAAGGGGAGTGGTTTGCTCTTATCAATGAATAAAGGTACATAATAGCTCAAGAAAGAAAGAAAGAAAGAAAGAAAGAAAGAAAGAAAGAAAGAAAGAAAGTCCACCTGAATCACAGGATGAAGAAGCAAGACAGTCCCTGCAACAGAAAAACATTTGATTCACAATTAAAACAATGCAAGTCTAGAAATAATGGTTGTTTAAATCCGGCAACTGTGCTTCAAATAATGGTTGTCGCCTGCCATGAATGTCCCAACTGAGATAGAAAGGTGGCATGTAATTAATTGCAATAATTCAAAAATCCATAGCCAAGTATTCTAACCATAAATAGTAAGAGGAGGACAATCATTACAGAAGATCAGGATGGATAGAATATTCTGCAAGCAGTTTTTTTAAATAAAAACATCATTATAAGAGAGCCCTTTACCATCCAGACCTTGTTACTGTACACTTGGAAGTGACAAGGCCCCTACCCCAAGCGCTGAGACGCTGATGAAATCCTCTGAGGCAAGGACTGGAAAATAGCTATTTTATTTGTTGCATTTGCGTCCAACTTCTTTGCCAGGGAGCTCAACACAATTCTCCCCCTCCTCATTTTAATCTCCACAATGACCCTGTGAGGCAGGTTAGGCTGAGAGTGAGCGACTTGCCCTGGAGGTCTTCCAGTGAGCTGAGTGGGGTTTCGAACCCTGGTCTCCCGGGTCCCAGTCCGACACACTACCCGTTACACTACACTGGCTCGCATGCCTGTAATGACGACCTTCTGTTTCTTCTGACTGCAGCACTTTACTTGGCTTCCTACGAGAGCGAAGGCCCCGAGAACCACATTGAAAAAGACAGATGGAAGACTCTCAGGTCAGTGTCAAAGGGGATTGCCGTCAGATAAATCAGCAGACTGCAAAGTTGCTTGAGCGCTAAGACACTTTCGATACCAAGTGTTCCACTGCTGCATGCCTCAACAGATGGACACAGTGTGAACTCGCTTCCAAAAAAAGTCATATTTAATTTCTGGGCTTTCCCAAAGTATTAGCACACAAGCTGTTTCTTCTTCCTGTTTTTTTGTTCCTTCCACCCATCCCCAATGTATTAGGAACCTCCTTTTTCATCTTTAAAAATTGAATGAATGCATTTTTAATTAATTTTTTTGCCCAGACAGATTTCCATTTTCCTTCCCTTTCTTGTTTGAAGGCTTTTGTCCAGTCAGTCATGCATGTTTCTAAATTCTCCTAAAATTGACTTCTTGTGCTGATTCAGGCCTGGTGCCCTTTTGTATGCTGCTAGGCTGCAACATCATTCTTAACAATTGGACATGATGGGAGCTGGAGTCTAACAATAGCTAGAGCGTACCAGGTTAGGGAAGGGATGTGGGTGGTGCTGTGGGTTAAACCACAGAGCCTAGGACTTGCCGATCAGAAGGTCGGCGGTTCGAATCCCCGCGACGGGGTGAGCTCCCATTGCTTGGTCCCTGCTCCTGCCAACCTAGGAGTATGAAAGCACGTCAGAGTGCAAGTAGATAAATAGGTACTGCTCTGGCGGGAAGGTAAACGGCGTTTCCGTGCGCTGCTCTGGTTCGCCAGAAGCGGCTTAGTCATGCCGGCCACATGACCCAGAAGCTGTACGTCGGCCAATAAAGCGAGATGAGCGCCACAACCCCAGAGTCGGCCACGACTGGACCTAATGGTCAGGGGTCCCTTTACCTTTACTTTACCTACCAGGTTAGGGAAGGCTGCATTGGTTAAAGTCCCTTATTGTCCCTCCTTTGCCAGTTAAGGAACTGTGGCATGCAAAGTTAAAACCATATGCCAGTGGCAGTTGGGGAATGAAACTTGCTAGTGCAATACCTTTTTGCCTGAGAAAGTTGCACAACGTTTTGGTGCGACCTTAGGGCAGGGCCATTGACAGGCGTAGCCTGTGAAGAGAGGGGGTGGCTATAGGAAACTCCCAAGGGCCAAACAGAGATTTGGAGGGCCACTTGTGCCCTAACCCAGACCTGAGGTTCCCCACTGTCTGCTCTGCACTTTTGAAAGATGACGCTTAGCACCTTTGAGGTTGCTGCCAATCTACTGTGCTCCCGAGAGCCACAAGCCCTAAAATACACCCAGACCCATTTGGTGGACAGTTCAGAGAGAGACCAACAAATGCAACATCTGAGACAATCTGTGGAGCGGTTTCCCAGTGTCGTAATCAATGGGGAGCTGTCTTAATATCCTCAGTTTGTTGTCCTTCCTGCCCATGGGGTGGTCTTCGCTGTCAGCTCCTCAGATGCCGTATTGCCCCTTGTAGAAAGGAGGAGAACTGGAACAAAACTTGAATTATTTGGCTGTGTCTGCCATTGGTTTGGGCTTCATTTGTCATTGGTTTTGGCGCCACCTGCTGTTGGCCTCCCACCTGTCCTACCAGCCACCTCTGTTCCTAATGAGTGTCCTCTCTACTCCTCTGTCTTTTAGGTCAACGCTTCTTGGAAGGGTTTAATCCATAACTGGCTTCCTGCTGCTGCTGCTGCTGCTGCTGCTGCTGCTGCTGTGCTGACGTGGATTATTTTTTTAATTGAAGGCCATTATTGATGTCACTTATTTATTTTCCCCCTCCTCCCCCTCCCTCCCTCTTTAAATCAAGTGACATTTTAAGTTATAAGAGCTGTGCAGCTAGTTAAGACATGTCAGGACTTTATTAAACTTAAGGAACAACCGCAAGTTAACTCGAGAACAAGCAGACCGGCTTCTCAAACCTGATAGATCATCAGATTAAGTGACTGGTTTGTTTTGGGTGATTGATCAAAAGACAGCAATGAGGAAAACCATTTGAAGATCTGACGCTTCTTTGAATCATTTCAAAACACCTGGATGGGATTCCATCACCACCTTTTAAAAAAAAAACTTTCGCCTCGCTGCTCCTTTGTATTAACAACTTGCTGCTACTTGTGGGCTGGAGTCTCCAACAAACTTTCATTCCAACTGCCGGCATCTCGTTTTTCGACTGCGTCATGTTTTGAGCGGTGAATGGAAAGGAAAACTGTCTCGGGCTGATATTTTGCTCAGCGAATCTAAGAACTTTGGTTTCCTCCTTGGGGAGAAGAAGAAACATTCACGGCAAAGTGACACGGGCTGCTTAAGATTTGCGTTTATTTATCGTGGGGAAGGGATTAATTATTATTCCTTTGGGGTCGTTGGGGTTTTTCGTTTGTTTTGTTTCTTCCTTGAGTTTGCTGCTGGCTGGCAAACTATCGTTGTGGTATTATTTAAAAACGAGAAGTGATTAAACTCAGTGCTGTGATAGGAAAAGCAGAGACACTAGAAGGAAACGTAGGAAATGTAGCTAGACTCTGTAGAAAAGAAACCCTCTCCCCAATTTATATTTACACTGTCTTTTTATTTGTTTCTGAAGGGCACGTTTACACAGTAAACATAATCTGGTATGAATCTGATTTAGCTTCCTGGCTTTATCCAGAAAACCTCGGGAACTGTAGCTATCTGAAAGTAGTCAGGGTAGAGACCTCCAGCTCAGGATTGGAGGAATGACTCTAGATGTTATTGGACTACAACTCCTGCTCTACCTTGTTCATAAAACTATTTCCTCCCATAGTTTCCATTTAAACCAATTTGAAACGGTCTTAAATTTCTAATGTAGACATCACCAAATGGTCTGCATCTCCTTCCCACCCCAGGTTATTGGTTGAACAATTTGACTTATTATTTCCTCTTCAAAAATTGCAGCTCAGACCGCGGGTAGATCAATGCCTTTATTGAGGGTTTTTGAGAAAAACGGAAGTAATGGTTGAAGTAATGTGCGACCCAGTAAAGCTAACTGGAATTGTGTGATGTCTTAAAGACAAGGGAAGGATAATCTTCTGCTAAAGTTGAAGTGTGGGTTGAAAACAACCGACTGTCTTTTGCTTCATGAGTTTATGAGCAATGTTTTGACTGTGAAAGAGGGCCTCTTGTTATACATTCTGTAGTAACCGGAATGCTTAGCCACTGTATTTTGCCCTCTAGGAAATTATGTCAAATGAAGCATAACCCTCCATTATTAGGCAGCCTAATGTTCAAGGTGGGGGTCCTTCATTTGCCAGAATCATATTCTAAGCACAGGGATTTGTATGTAATTAGTGCCGCCGTTCAAAATTGAAAATAAATATATCTATATCTACACTTGCATTGCCCTGCATACTTGTAGATTTGGAAAAGGAGTTCAAGGCTCGACTCTTCTTTTTTAATTACTTCTGCAAAAAATAGACACCCTATTGAAAAAGAATGGCGGCTTCTGCTCCTTGAGAGATGTGCAGGATCCAACTGTTAAGAATTTACACTACTACCACCCTATGATCACAACTTGTATTGACAGAGTTTGTATGTGTGTCTTGGTTGACGAAAGGGTGTAGACTCCCATGGGCTGTTCCTAGTTTCTCTGAGCCATACTCAACTCATTTCTATACATGATATTTATTTACATATAATCACATTACGTAACGTCATACCCTCTTATTTTATCTCTTTGGCTCAACTGAGCCTAACGACTTCCCTTCCTCCCGTCTGATGGTTTACATTACTTTACATTACTCAACCTGAATAGGTAGCAATTTCATCTTACAAATCTTCAAATAACCCTGCTAATGATGTTAATTGCTTACACTTGTCTTTCAGGTATAATATAATATAATATAATATAATATAATATAATATAATATAATATAATATAATATAATATAAATACAATATAAATTTGTTCCAGTCCTTTTGGAATGCTTGGTCTCGCTGGTTCTGGGTTCTTTCCATCAGTTTTGCCAGTTCTGCAATACTCAACTCATTCCTACTCCCTGAAATCAAGGGATCTAAGTTATCCATGTCTATTGATTTCAGTAGGTCTACTCTAAGTATAAATAGTATTGGATTCAACCCTCTTGCAGGTGGAATCATGAGGGGAGAATAACATCTGAAGAGATGAACACTTCTTACTAGTCACCATTCCCCACTCTATAAGCTGAAGGGTGTGGCTCTCTAGCACAAAAAAGGAAGTAAAAATGAGTTGTTGTTTTTAGGACTGCAGCTTTTAAAGTTCAATGGAAATTTTAAAAGCAGAAGACTGAAGTTTATCTTCAGTCTTAGTACTGTGGGCCCATTAATTTATCTCTGATGGTAGCACTGTGGTGCTCAGCACTAATACATGAGGTAAGACTTCTCTCTGATCTTAGCACTTCATGCTTACGTCGGAGATAGCAGATCTCTGCACCTGACATCTTGCAACATCGGGTGATCAACGAGTGGGCATGTTTTGCTCAAAATGGCCTTGTAGGCCAAACCCGGAGGCCTGTCAGGCCTAATCATGCCCATGGACAAGAGGTTCCCCATGATAATGGCAGCCACCTCACATGGTGTAATGGCCCTCTGTAGAAACTGGATAATTCATAATTCAACCGCGTCACAGATTTTCACCAATATGGCTACCTCTTCCTTTGTGTGTGAAATATTTCATTCAGCTCTACATTTCTATGCGCTCAGGCTAGCCCTGTTTGTACTCCAGGCTACAGGTGTTAGGCCTGGTCACCATAAATGGTGGAACCTAGTGGCCTCTAGAAGTTGCTGGATTAAAATTCCCCAAATCTCTGACCTTTGACCATTTTGGCTGGGACTTCCAGGAATCAAACAGTAGGTGGAGAAGTATGGCAACAGAGACACCTGTCAAATATAGATGGAAGCAGATGAATGTTTATATCCCTCATTTCCTCAAGGTAGTTCTCCTTGACACTTACGTTTTTCTTCTCGCCCACGACAACCTTTTGTGGTGGGTTCAACCCAGAGACAGTAACTAGCCCAAGGTTACCCAGTGAGTTTCAGGACTGAGTGGAGATTTGAGCCTGGCCTCAAACCATTATCCCACAGTGTGTCTTGAACCTTGAGACGTCATCGCCCCTCAATTTATTTCAGTATTTTCATCTCGCTTTTTGAAGCAAACAACTTGCGATGCAACCAAACCAATATAAATACATTTCAAAGGAATATCCTGAATCGTCCTCAGAAAACATTTTAAATATGAAATAAGTGTGGACTGCATAGATGATGGAGTCTGTGGTTATTTATCTCTTCGTTGTTTCTTTCTTAGTTTGGTTTCCATCCCGCCTTTTATCCCAGGAAGATCTCCGAGGTGGCTTGATATAAAATAATAAAATATAATTACTTTAGGATTGCTTCTGCCTCTTCCAATGCAATCGTTTGCTTATCTGCGGAAATAATTTACATTTCCTCCATTGTTTTGACTCTCCAGGTGTCTGGGGCAAACATGTTTCATTTATGGTGCTTCTGGAGAAGTGGGGAGAATATAAAAAGGCAACAGAGATGAGTGTTGACAGTCAAAAGCAGCCACTGTTGTGTGCTTTGGGATGGAGAGTGTTGATCTGGCTTGCAAAGAGGCTGTGCATACCAAAGCAGGCAGCGGGAGCCTTGAATGACACGAGCCTCTCCACCTTCACAACAGTGGCAGCAGGTGCTGCGAGATGGGGCCAGCCGTGGGACTCCCCCTTTTGAAAAGAGATGCAAATATGATGGCCTGAGGCAAGCCAGAGGCCCTTCACTTTGGATGCAAATGAGCTTGGCTTCTGTGTGCAACAATAGACGCCTCATCCCACCTCCACCCCCCAGTACTGTCCCTTCTCTCCATTTATCATTCTACTGGGCAGATGTGATGATGCGAGATTGAAAGGAGGGCAGACCAGCGAGGTGGGGGCCTGTGTTGGGAAAAGGAAGCAGTAAGACAAGTCAAAAGTTCCAAGTGCGGTCACACCATATATTTTTATAATACTGTGCACAGTTTTGGTCCTGAGTCCCATAGTTGCTGGGCCCAAGTTGCCCTGCCCTTGCATGAAGTCTTGGGTTTGCAATTTTGGGCGAGGGGAGACTGCCCGCTGGGGGGCGGATGGACTGGGGAAGCCCCCTAGATTTAGCGGCCCTAGGCTTCAGCCTACTTAGCCTATACATAAATCCGGCCCTGGTCAGACCTAATGAGCAGAGCAGCTCATTCCTGAGGGTCTTACTGCATGAAAATCAGTTGCCAAGACTGAAAGTCCCTGCCTCCCCACAGTCCTCTCCAGAGCTTTTCCCTAAGCAATCAGAGACTATGCCTGCGTGCAGACAACCTCTTTTCTGCCCATTTCATGACTCTTCTGGGAGACCAGGGTGGAGGGGAGCTTCTCGCTTCAGGAGGAGGAGACACACAAGCCTCTTCAACCTCTGCCTCTTGGCCTCCCTCCTCTCCTGCTTCAGCTTCTGCCTCTGATTCTGGACTTCTTTTTTCTGCACTCTCCCAGCTGACTAAGCCCTATGACCTCTTCAGCTTCCAACACTACCTCCTCTCAGTCTTCTCCCTCTGACCACTCATTGTTGTCCCACCACCAATCCCCAGGCTCACAGCCCCTTCCTGCAGCCACAGAACCTAGGGAAGGGCTTCTAAGAATGATCTCTGAAAACTCACAGGGGAGAAGG